ACGGGTTCCGCGATTTTCGACGTCGAACCGGCGACCACGCACCGGACGATGTCCACGGTGCTGTGGCAGATCGAGTCGACGGCCGCGGCGATCAGGTGCGCGCGCCCGGTGCGGTCCCCGAAGCCGCACACCACCGGACGCGCGTCCGGCCGGACGTACGGCGCCGACGGCAGGCCGCCGAACGCCGGCACCGCGTACGTCCCGGGGTCGACGGGCGCGCCGCTCGCGGCGTAGGCGGTCACGCAATCGTCCCACGACTGACCAGGCCCATGTTCCTCAGCCACACGGCCACGCTGGCCCTGGACACCGCCATCAGCCCGTAAACGATTCTCGGACGCTTCGGTCGGCCATGTTCGCTCGCAGCCGACCACGGGCATCGGGCCGCCGGCGGGTTGCCGGCACGGCGGACCGCGGTCGCGCCCACGGCCACCGCCATCCGGTCGGTCAGCGTGACGGCCACCTGCCCGCGGCGGTAGCACGCCTGCGCGTACAGCACGGCGCTGGGCGGGCGCGTCGCGTGCACGGACAGCCCGTACAGCCGGCCACCACGATGACGGCGGCCGACGCTTGCCCGGCTTCCGGACCGCCGGCCAAGCGGCGGCCGTCAGACCGCGCGACCGACGGCGTCGGTCCAGCACAGCGTGGCCATGTCCAGCAGCCCTGTGTACGACGCGTTCGTCACGTCCGTCTGGTACGTGTGGCCGGCCGTCAGCTTCCACGTCAGCCACGCGTCCAGCGTGCCGAACCGGCAGTTGTCCGCGATGCACTTCACGGCCGTCGACCGCTGTAGCAGCCACTCGGCGGTCGCGGCCGTCCCGCCGTCGGCCATCCGGACGTCCGACCAGTGGACCATGTTGTGCACCGGCTTGCCGGTGACCGCGTTCCACGCCACCAGCGTGGCCATCTCGTTGACGACGGCCACCGATTTGATGTATGTGACCGGCGCGCCGACCCGGCTCATCTTGTCCACCGCGTCGGCCATCACCCGCAGCACCGCTTCCCACACGACTTCCGGGTCTTGTTCCACGTGGCCCGGACCCGTCGGCGGCTTCTCGGCCGCGGAACAGCTGCTCGCCCGGTCGTCTGCCTCGACAGCCGCCGAATGCGACTGATCCGCACTCGGGTCATCGTTACACCCGACTCTCCGGCTCTTCGGTTCCGCGGTTATTAACGGAAACGTTTCCGCCGACGTGACCACTTCGCTACCGTCCCGGTTTGATATTACTGTGAGCTGGACTCGGTCCGATTCGACGGACAGTACTGCTATGGCTTCTATTTGCTTCATTTGTTTTGTTTTTTTTAATTTTCAAGTCTAGTTTGTGTTTTGGTGTTTTTTCAAAATTTTTATTGCGTTTATTTATGTTTACTTGTTGTCATGGTATACGTTAAAAATTAAAAACGTAAACGTATGATTAGCACGCTAATATTAATTTTATTTCCTGTAAAACGATAAAATATTATGTTCATTGACTTATGCCTACAAAATTGTGAATCAAATGCGTAGGGTTTTAACGAACACGAAATATTTACAATTAATCATGTTTACAAAACAGTACCTACATGTCATGAATTTGCATTTAAAACGTTTAGTATAATAAATAAGAATAAATAACTCTTTGATTTTAGACTACACCTATTAACATTTACCATCTTGTTTATCCCTTTTTAAGCCGACAAGCCTATGCGCGTTTATGGCACATTATTGTTATACCTACTACACCTGTGCATACTAAAATAATTGCATACCTATATAAGATGTTATCATTTGTGTCATTTTCGATGTTTTTAACACATCATTTTTAATGCCTCACATCAATAATTGTATTTACTAATCATTTACTATGTATAAATAATGCGATTCAGGGCTTTCGAAAATATATTAACAATAAAATTATCAATGACGAGTTAAAAGAATTAGACATTTTAATAAAAACATTTCCTGTTTCAACAGCGGAATGTGAAAGGGGATTTAGCCAAATGAATTTGATATGTTCAGATCTCAGGTCAAGATTATCCGTTACTAATATTTCTAGTCTAATGTTTATAAATATTAATGGACAATGGACCACTAGTTGCAATATGGAATCCAACAAATTGTGTAAAAAGTTAGCTGATCAAACATAGATCTACAAATGATAACAGATCTCGAAAAGTTGCACAGATAAAATTTAATAAAGAAAAGGCTAGTCTGTGGAAAATTTTATAATTTGCTTATTTGTTTATAATTATATAAGAAATATAAATATTATAATTTATATTATATTTATACATAAAATTATTTATATATTTTATTTTGTATTTCATATAATCCTGTTTCTTGTTTTTGTAGTGATCGCCGTGAAGGACACGTTGAGCACAATACGATTAATTATTTAAACGACATAGCACGTCTTTGTCAGTCTTGAGATGTGTGGTTTTGAGAAAGATAGGTAAATTAATTAATACTCACTAGTATTAACGTTAAATAATTTATTATTATATTTAAAACACAATTACTTAAAAAAAAAAACGCACTGTCGTAAGCGTGATGTGCTATCGAACAGTGCTAACATCTTCTAAAAATTAGTAAGTGCTCTACCCGTATTTATGTGGGTCCTACTAATGATGATGTAAAAAAACTTGTTGTTTTCACCTGTGATCTACATTTAGGCTTTTCAAATCTTTCATATTATTACCTGTAATAGCTCATTATAAGTTATACTAGATAAAATTTATTATGCTACGTTATATTTAAAAATTATAGTTTTGGGTTTACTAAATTTTTATTAATTAATAATATAATATGTATGCATAATTTAAACTTAAAAATCCTGTTTGATTAAAACTTAATATTACTTGAATACTTACTATCTGTGTGTCATTAACTCAATATAGTCAATATAGGTTACAAACATTTGGTGAAAATGTCTAGTATTTTACATACCTACCTACAGTAATCCATTTTTGAATAACACGAAAAATACAAAATTGATTTAATCAAATAACAATTTTGTGTAAAAACATCTGTTTCCATAGATGTTTTTTCCCCAGTTATTTTGAAAAGTATTAAGAATTATTATCTATGACCCTTCCCCTCTACAAGTTACCAAATAGATCCGATTTTCTTCTATCAAAAACAACCCTCGAAGTAAAAAATTGAAGTTTTCATATTTTTTCTACTCAAAAATGTAATGATAGATACCACAATATTTTCAATTCATATTGATATTCATAGGAAAAATTTTTTTTTTAAAAAGATGAGGTAGTAGGAACCTACCACTTGCCCATGTATTTTCATGTTTTTAAAATGTATCTTTTTAGTTATACTTTATAATATTCTTGCCATAAAATAACCTGTGCTAATACCTACACATAATTCTCTAAAAACTTCACAAATTATAATCTATATACTAATTTCAATATCATTGAAGGTTATGGTTACAACATCAGACAATCACATAATACCTAACCTAACCTACCTAAATGTTGAATTTAATTTTTACTAAATAGTATAATTTAATGTGAAAATATTTGGTCATACCTAGGACCTAGCTGGCTAGTAATTAAAAGAAAGACAAAATTATAAAATATAAGACCTAACCTCAAAATACGGAACTGCTAACTACAATGTTTATTTATATAAAATATATTATATACTATTATTGTGCCTAAATAGAATCGAATATTAAGCTAAATATAAAAGCGATTCCGATTAATAACTTATTTTTTGTTTTATTTTAATACACCTTTATGGCTATGATATCGATATGATTCTATAGTACATTATTATACGTAATAATTGATAAATTAGTAAATAATTATTTATTCGTTATTGCACATGTAGTAGCTATCTATAATTACTAATTAGTGATAAACGATTGTGTAGGTATTCCATTATAATAAAAATCTTAAATTTAATTGTTTTATATTATTTCAGATTCCTCTATTCGCGGTTTAAATAACAAACTTATTGATGTAGATTTCTTCAATTAGTTAAGCTAACAATGTTCATTCTGAGAGAAAAATGTTTTATTGATTACGATACATCGTAAACTGTTAAAATCCCAAAAATTACTGGTTGCAAAATTACAGCATTACAAAATAGTCCGCTAAAAAGTTGCATTAATGATTATAACTGTCTGGTGACCTTCATGATTCGACGATGAAACCATCTCATGGAACCTACCAAAATGAAGTAGCATTAAAGTCCTTGAATAGCTCATTAATCGCAATTACCTTGCAAGTACTAAGTGTGTCATTATGTATACATTTCGAAATTATGATGACAATAATAGTACAAGTTCAGCCAAATGTTTATTACAATTTTGAGCATAATCGAGATTACTTAATAAATTAAAAATTCAATACTGTGCAATTTATTTTTAAATATGAACGTATATCAACAGATTACCACTTGCCTTATTAATTCAATGTTGAAATACAAAAACTATTCAAAAATATTAAACAGTACCTACACGTATTTTATTAATATTATTATTTGACAATAGATTTATAGATTTTAAAACATCAGGTAGATATAATATAAACGACTGTAAGAAAAAAAAAATTTCATAAACAGAATAGTTAATACAATTATTACTAAAAATTGTAAAATGTAATAATTATTTTACATGTAGTACCTACATCTTACATACCAATATACCATCTATATTTCAGAAATTCTGCATAAAGTAATACATATTAAACACGCTATATTTAAACATTTGAGTTTTAATTTTATTGATCGCAAAATTGTTTTTATTTATGTAATATAGGCAATAACTAATAAGAAATAAAAAATAGTAAATTTTAAAATTAGTAATGTACAATATAAACTACCGATGTATTTTCAGTCAAAGGCAGTTGACCCGGGTGTACCAGTAAGCTTTAGCCTTAAACACACTGTATCGGGTGGACTGATAACCATTTAACAATACTACTAATTATTACTTATATAAATATCTATAGTATACCTATACCATTGTAAAATACCGAACCACATCATCCACATCTCTCAATCCAATCATAATTACAGTTTTCGCAGACTGAGAATTTTCACCCCTCTATAAAGATTTTACCAACTCTTGCAAGTCCTGCATAATTTTCCACGTCTTCAATATTATAATTTACCATATACTAGAAATATGATTAATTTCATTAGTTTTTTACGATAATCATAATATTATTATAGCCATGTTATAAAGGCCATATTTAGTGATATTTTATATATTTTTATCCGATTTATAAACTATATCTAACTAGTAACTTTTTTTTTTTTTCAGTTTTGAACTGACGACGCCGCGGGAATTGCTTTCGCATTACTGCCGCTGATCTAACTAGTAACTACAACTATCTATAATAACTATAATAAACTACGACTAAACATATCCTTTAGTAGGCCAGTATATAATTTAATTCAGAATTTCTTTAAATTTTTTTGATAATTTAATGAGCAAATCCACTAATTTTGTATAATATCTATCATTTTTCCAAGCCTATTTATTATTTTAAACATTATCAGGAACAGAAAACAAAGTTAAAAAAATTAAATACAAATGGATAATTTTTTCAAATGACAAATTATAATACTATCTCTTTCACATCTTAACAATTATTTATATTGCAAGTCAAGTTAACAAGGAGATAAACATATTTAATGGAAGTTCAAAAATTTTATATAACATAATACAATTATTAAAAAAAAAAAATTTTGATAATTTTTTTAAATTATAATTTTTGAAAAAGATATATTTAATAAAACATAATAAATTAAAAGTTTTAAACAACTTATTATTCAGCGCCAATTCATATTGCACTTATTTTACTATTTTTCTAGATCTACAAAGTAAAATTTAAACTTAAATTTTATAAAATATTAATACTTTAATTGAATTTTATAGGTACTGATTTTACTAAAAAATCAATTAAAAATTAATATTTATTGGGATGTCAAATTGAATATGTTAAAAATTTAATAAATCTGCACTAAAAACCTTCCCATAAGTTTGAGATCAGGAAAAGTTTATTTCAAATTATACAAAGTGAATACTTTAAAAAAAAAATAACATAAAATTAAAGACAAATGGCACGCCATGTTATTTAAATACGTTGATAGTTTAGTAAGCAATAGTAGTAACCCCTTTTTGAAATTTAATTGAAACTATTCAAAAAAAAAAAAGATTATTATGTATATGCATTTTTCAAGTTTTCCATTTAACATAAATATGATCAATTATTAATAAAAAACACATATTTGCTAGTTTTCTTATATTTGTGTGTAATACTTGAAAAATGCATAGTTATCAAATGCAGTGGTAGATTAAATATCTATATACTTTTTCTTATTATTAACATATTTATTTTGACTACCCATAATATATTACTAATAGGTCTACATCAGCACTATTCTTAAATAAAACAAGCATTTAACCTTACATAAAATTAACTTACATTTAATCAAAAATAAATTATTTTAGGTATTTTTAATGTTATACATAGAAATATAATTATACACTTAAAATAATTTTTGTTAAATAACCTTATTGCTCAACTTAAATCTAATAAAAACCGTTAGTAAAACACTTTTAGTAATTCACTGATGAGACTGATAAATTTGAATAACATTTATATTCATTATTCATCTCATGTGTTTTGAACTCAATTTTTATAACAGTCTTCATTGAAAAAAAAAAATAGGTATATACATTAAAAGAAGACGAAAATCAAATTGACTGTACAGCAGAGCTGAGATGTATTTCTTGACGTTGATTACACTCGCCTCTTCCGGTGGTGGGTTCTAGTCTGGCGCGAGATACAATACGAGCAGTACTGTTCTTTATTGCCATTTGTAATGTGTGCCTGCGATTTAATCTTTGAACACATGATACACATAATGTAAGCGGCAAACCATCAGAAGATTTAATCTAAAACAGAATAAAACATTCGTTTATCCCATATAGATCATAGACCAAGTATCATGTTTTTATAAATACCTATCTAAATAATATGATTAACAAGAAAAACAAGTCTTTAATTAAATAATATATAGAATTAATACCTTAAAATGTTTTAACACATTAACTTGTAGTGTACAATTAAAAAACTACAAGCTATTTTGGCAATCAACTCCTTTTATATTGTAACTATCATTTTAGTATATTGAACTTCTGCCCCATTGAACATGTCCTCAAGAGTTAACAAATATTTAAAAAAATATATTCAAAGATAGATTAATGAAATGTTGTATGTTTTTTAAATATTGATATTGTAGTTATGTGTAACACTTTTTCACTGAAAACTATAATTTATGATTGTATCAAACAAAACAAAAGTGTAAGAATAAACAACAGAATTTATGAAAAAAAAAGGTAATAATTTAGATAAATTACATGTAATTTTATATTATTATAAATTGAATCAAAAACGTAGTAATTTTATAATAATGAATTATTATCTCTATCAACAATTAATCAAATAATTAAAGCTGTGTTAGATACATAAATTAAGATTAATATTTATATACTCTGAAAAACTACTGAATACCTACGTCTTTAAGTTAATCTGATATATAATATACATACATAATATGTTAATATGCTCAAAAAGTATATTCTAAGAAATATTTTATTACCTATGCATTTGTAATAAGAATATACGTTAATAGTATAATATATCATCATTTGAAGGAAGAAACCACTTGGTAGTGACACTACCAGTTGATTTGTTTAATTTTATATTTGTTTTTTTTTATTATTTTGATTATTTTCTTTTTTTATGCTTTAGTTTAGATTAAGTGTTGCCATGAGATGGTTTCTTTTCTCACGCGTTTCATGTCAAAAATAAATATAATTATATAATAGCATACATGCCTATTGTAAATTAAATATTACAGATTGTTTGTTTTAAAATAAAGTTAAAAAAAAAAAAAAAGTTTTAGTTAAAAAGGTCTCTACACAATTTTTTTTAAACACCTTGGGGGATTTCCAGGAATTATAAGTGTGGATAAGTTAGATATAAAGGGAGTTAAGATGTGATATAAGTCTAACATGTTATCTTTTAAGGTAAATAATGGCTTCTTATTGAATGATTTTGATTTTTAGATCTGAATGGAAAGTTAGATTAGAAATGTAAGGTAGGGTATTAGTGATTTTAAAAGACTTTAATTTTATACAATTTAAATTTTATTTACAATAGTTTTATTTGCATTACCCCAAAGTTGAAGGCCATAGCTCTACAGAGGCTTGATTAAGAATTTGGAAATTAGAAGTTTTATTTTTAATTTAGAGTGATTGTTATTAGAAATTAGAGTTTTGAGCATACAAAGACATACATTAATTAATGCAAGTTTTTTAACTTGGATGTGGAGTACCAAAGCAATATGACAGTCGAATGTTAGACCAAGATATTTAACAGTCTGAGATTATAGAATTTGAATGCCATAGAGATTTATGTCAGAGCATTAAACACATTGAAGAGTTAAAGTTGTATGAACTGATTTTGCTTGATTGACTTTAATCTCCATTTTTTATACCAATCTTCCATTATAGTAAAACAATTTTGCAAGTTAACGGAAACTATAAAAGGGTCAGCATTAGTTTAAATTGTTACTTTGTCATGCACTATTGTTTAATTACTAATCAATTGATCTAATGTGAATATATTATATTATAAAACTGGAGAGAGGATACCTCCTTGTGGTTCTAATACTTTTTTTTAAATTTACAGATCCATAATGGATCTGGGAATGTCTATCACCAAGATAGGATTTTAATTAAAGAGAGTAAATCAGAGGAAGAAATCTCTTTAGTTTGTATAGAAATCGTTTGTGCCACTCTCTATCAAAGGCTTGCGATACATCAAGGAATGCACAGGTGCAGAATAGTTTTTTTTTGAGAGCAAATAAAATCATATCAACGACCTTATCTGCTCAGTGAGTGATTGAATGTATTTGTAAAAAAGCCAAATTGATATTCATGAAGAACTTTTTTGTCCTGAATTAAAGAAAAAATAGGTTTAAGCAAGAGTCTAACCTCCAAAGGTGTGGGAGTGGGGAATATAGATTATTTTATACTGAATTTATATTATTTAATGAGATTATATAGAGGGGAGGGGGTGGAAAATATAGCAAAGGAAAGTTTTAAATAATTCCACTTTATCAGCGTCTAAAACAGCAAAACTACAATCCAAGTTCTTTATTGAAGATGTTAAAACTTTGTATGAGAGTTTGCTATGTTGCCTACCAGAGACTGCAATCTCTAGACCAAATCTAACCCATGTATCTTGAAGTTTTTATCAGATACCTAACCTATACATTGATTCATATAAGCAATACATTTTAAAAAAGACCAAGAATCTGTTACTCATTATTTTAAAGATTGATTTTACTTAATATCTACTTATATAATAATGCAACTTCTATGAATATTGCATTAAATTCTTTGATAGATCAATAATTTATGACATTTAAATACATAAGAATATAATTTGACCTTAGATAATTTTACAAATTTAAAAATATAAAAGTTCATTATATATTTTTAAGTATTAGATATCTAGAAAGTAATATAAACTGGTGAATTTGTTAAATTGGTTGGTTTGGAAAATAAGTTGGAAAAACTTTTTTTCTTACTGAGAATTTTCATCATTTATCAATTTATCATTATTTGTCTACTATTTTAAACTAGTTAATCTTAAAATATAATTAATAGTATTGTTTTTATTATTATAGTAGCATAGCATGTAGTTGTTTATAAGGTTATAACAATTAAATAATTATTGTTGAAACACTTAATTTGTTAATAAGTGATCATTTATGAATTAATTATTGATTATATTATAATCAAAACTTACAAATTACTTTAGAAAAATGTATTCAAATAACAATTAGTTATAAATCTATCTACCGCACTTAAATGTTGACACTTATACAATACAATATATGTGTTCTTATGTTAACAATTTAGAAAATATCCCGGAAAATATTAATATATTTTTCAAAATTCATTTATACTTTATTAATATCCAGTAAACAAAAACCTAAATAATAAGTAATCGAGTATTTTAAAAATAAAGATAATGAAAACAATATATAAATTATGATTAATCTAAGAATTTGAAATGCAAAAATGTGATTTATTAAAAATTATAATTCATCATTAAACATGATATGTACAAAGCACACAAATCTTATTTTTATTAAGTAATAAAAATAAATGCATTAAATACAAAAAAATGAATAATAACAATTAACTTTTTAACAAATAAAAATTATAGTTAATGATTTAATGTTTTATTAATAAATATCATTATTTCTCTCTCTAGGTATGTCTTGTTTAAAAACATAAAATAAACAAAACAGTACCTAAAGTTTTAGAGAGTATGGAAGAAGGCAAAAAATTATCAACTATTAGTTACAAATCAAGGGCACTTGAATGTTATTGTTATCACAAACTATTAACTAAACAAGAAAAAAAAACATAATTGTCAAACCCACAATCAGTCTTCTTGATATTCAAATAATTTAATATAGTTCAAGACCAAATATATTATTAAATACAGTTTTCTTATGCATAAGAAAATGTTTCAATAAATAAATACCTATCTCAGTAGATTAAATTAATTTCTATAAAAATAGATAGGTATAAAAGAGTAAAAGAAAAAAATTGTTAATTTCTTATCTACATATATAGGTAACATGAGAAATAACATTTATAATAATCTATTTTTATTGTTAACTAATATCAAAAAAAAAAAAAAATAAAAATATTTTCCATGATTTAATTTTTGAACTTGAGAATGTTAAGATAATGTCTAATAAAATTCATCTATTATTAATCTAAATTTTAAAATAAAATAGTTGTATTTACACAACATAGACAAATAAATATTAATCATTAATATAAATTTAACTAAATGTTTACTTAATTCCATAATCATCCAATACCCACATCAATATGACATCATCAAATTTAATCATTATTAAAAGTATATACAATCTGTATGATTTCAGAAGTGTAACCAATTTAATATCCTTGACTTATTTTCAAATACTTTTAATTTAAAATATATCCAAATAGTAGGTAATTGGGTATAGTTAGGTCAAGGTTATAAATGGACCATGGAAAATGCTAAAAAAGGACATCCAAATTTATGTTCTGAATTCAAGATATTATTAAACTGCAATCAAATAATGTGAACATAATACAGCAAAATTGAAAGAAAAAATAGCAATTCACTTAGAAAGCCGATATTGTGTAAAACCTTGAAATCATAACTAAAAAAAGTGGACAACAAATAGTTTTAAGAAATTTCACACGTAATGAAGGTACCAACGTACTTGTACGATTTACGGTTCTAGCAAAGTATAAAAGGTACGAAATGTGGATGTGCCATACGTAGGGTTAGGTACTACACCAAATTTAACACAATATGTGATGGAGAAATTAAATTTCAAAAACAGACACCTAGGTGGTAGTACACAACCGTTTGCGTTGTATTATTGTGATATTGCCAGCGTATATTATGCGTAAAGAGCCCGAGCGTCAAGGCTACAGCGTCCTCGGCGCCTATGAAAGTAACACACTTTTAATAACCCTGAAAAACAAAAAAAATAGTTCACCGAAAACCCGAGGTCAAGGTTGCGGTAGCGGTATGTCTCGGTCGGAATCAGCGGAGAAATAATCTGGGTCTCGTGAAAATGTAAGAAATATCGAAGTAAATCATGGGCCGGGAAAAGATCGACGCTGAGGAAAAACGACGACGATGCAGTCCGCGAGAAACTCGTCCGATCCCGTCGCCCCCGCGACCGTCTAGGCGATGGCGCAAAAAAAAACAGACGTGTTTCTACACACATTTAGGTAGCGCTAAATCGCAACGGCCCGGTGATAACGCAACATGCACACAATCTACGGGCGAACGCGCGTGTGTGTGTGTGTGCGTGTGCAATGTGCATAATAATATACGACATGGTATACATTACTACACATACACACACACAAGAGAGCGCGCGTGCGCGCAACGATTTCGTCATACTAGTTTCGAAACACAATAATGAAATTCAATAGAGCCGACGAAAACGAAAATCGCCGCCCGAATTTTTGTTTCCAACCCAACCCATATAGTCCGTCGAGAACCCTAGTAACCCCTAGTAAAACCAACCCGAATATCTGATTTCGAACCGTCGGCCAAAACACAACGGCGAAACGATAAATACAATAACAATAAAAATAAATCGACGTCAACGACCGCAGCGGTGCGATCGATGTATAGTGTATATTGTGCCTTACCTTAATGGGCAAATAATCTCTGATCTTTTGCACTAAATTGTATTTTCTGCCTAGTTCGCCGTAGATGTGCACAACGCGCTTGTCGATTTTCGAACACAGACGACATATGAAACCACAACGGACAGCGTTGTTCACGCTTCCCATTTAGACGTGTCGTCGTCGGCAACAAACGCAACGAATCGGCAACACGCACACGTACGGCACCACACATACACATGCACACAAACCGGGAGACGGCAACGAGCAGCGGCGGCGTCGGCGAACTGTGCGAGATCGGTCGATCGACAGTCGACACTAGTGATGTTAAAAAGTAGCAGTCACTGCTACTTTTCACTGCGACTTGCCATGTAGCAGTAACAGTGTCTGCTACTAACACATAAAATAGCAGTGATCTGATCACACTGTCGTTATCTGTGATCACGGTTAAACTGTGGAACTGTGAAAACTGTGAAACTGTTAAACTTGTTAAACAGTGAAAAATACGATTTATTATCGCAATTCACAGTAAATAATATCACTACTTGTGAAATATAGCAGTCAACTGCTACTGCCTACTGCCTACTACATTCGTGATAACGGATTAATGGACAAAGTAGCAATCACTGCTATTTTCACTGTGATTTTTATTATCACAGTAGCAAATTCACAGTGTGATAAATATTTGTCACACTTTAACATCACTAGTCGACACGGTAGAAGGCGGCACACGCACACGAAAATGGTGTGAAAACGACGACCACGGTGGCGGGTAAGTGCACTACAACAATAATAATAATAATCAGTAATCAGTCTGCGGCGGCGGCGGCAACCACGGGACGAATGGAACTTGGAAGCGAAAACCGAAATATTTTGTCATTCAAAAAAGAAAAAAAAATGAATAGGTAACTCCGTGCTCTGATGATAGCGTGACAAGACGACGGGCCGACAACCGCGGATGGCGTGCGCCAACAATCGTATCGGAGGTCAAACCCTGTCGCCCGGTGCGCGTTCTATTGGCTACACTGATTACAATCACCGAGGTCTTAACCTCAAATTCGTCCAAATCCAAATACCCGATTAAAAATCTTTAATGATAGGGCATGTCATTTTCGGAGCATTATTGAGCAATAAGTATTAAGTATTCATACTTTTACTTTTTAGTGCATTTTAATGCATATTGCATTTGCAATTTGCATTACCATCTAGTATCTGCATTTACATTAGGGTACTAAAGGCACTTTTCATAAGTGCATTCGTTTTCCTTGTAACCCTATTGATTGTATCAATTTTTTGTATATTTTTTTTCCAAAATACAAGATACACTAAAATAGCTGTTTTTAGTACTTTAATTTTCAAAAAATATAACGATAGAGTACAATGTTGAGAATATACCGATTATGTGTTCTTATTACTTCCTAGAAGTCACATTGTGAGTGAATTGCTTAATCTTGAACATTTGCTTGATCAATACTTACTTATTTATACTAACTGATTCTATTTTCCTCCTAGAAGTGTTCTCGACAGAAAAGGGGACAACGTGGACGTGAATAACGGAAAATTTTCATTTTACATTAAGGAAGCACTCAAAGAAGTTTTTGGCCAGGTACAAAATTATGTTTACTAATATATATTGAATTGTGTAAACTTTTCCTCTTGTTGTTTTCTATTTTACTAAATGCCCAACTGATTATAATTCAACACCCACAATATTTTTGAAATGTAGCTGACACTTAAACATTTTATTTTTAATTCATTACATTTGTGATCATCAATTGTATTATGCAAATATTTTCATTAAATTCTGAAATAATCATAACATGATATGTATGCTATATACATTTTTAAACTTTTTATTCTTTAAATTCATATATTTAAATAATATTGAATTACATAAGTTAAAATATCTATGCTGAGATTTTTACATTAATTTTATTTAAATGAATTTACCCTGTAAAATTTTGATTTTACCGACTACAATTAAATATCTTTCAGACACAACATCAGTAACAAACGTTTTAATTTTTAATATAGTGTAGATGATGATAAACTCAATACAAATATGTTATTTTCATTTATTTTATGAATTATTGTGTTATAACAAGCAAAACCAAAGGTTAATGTTACTTTTAATATTTGTAAGACATTTAATTGAATAGCAATAATTTTTAATAATAAAACTGTTTTTAGTTTGGATCAAGTATCAACTTTGATGTACTAAAATTTGAAGCTGGAAAAGGCATAATTCGGTGTCCATCTACTTTTTACGTAAAATTTCGAGGAGCGCTTACTTTGTTTGGACGTCACAATTCAAATACTGTTGCATTCAACGTCCATCGTGCTTCACCGTGTTTAATATCATTCATCACAGAAGACAGGATTTATAAACATGTCACAAATAATTAAAGATGGTAAAGACACGATTATATTTGCCACAAAAGAAGATCATCAGTCACCTAGTAAAGTCATATTATCACCTCCAGAACCCTCACCTGGTCTTATATTTCCTGATGGCTCCATAAACTGGAATTGCCCATGTTTAGGAGGAATGGCAACTGGACCTTGCGGGGTTGAATTTAGAGAATCATTTACGTGTTTTCATTATAGTAAAGAAGAACCTAAAGGTATGGAATGTAGGGAAAAGTTCACAGCTATGTGGGCATGCATGGACCAATATCCTGAAGTATATTCAGAAGGTTTAAAAGATGATGAAGAATTCTTAAATGCAGAAGAACAAGCTGGTGAAACCGTGAAAAATGAAAAAACGAGTTCGTAATACTTGTTAAATTGTTTCATTTTAGAATCTTTTCTCGTTTTAAATAGATGTTTTAGATATAAAATTTATTTTTTTGTTGTTTTTATCTGTACTTAATCATATTAATTATTATCAACATATTCTATTAGTAAAAACAAAGTATTTGCTATTTGGTTAATGAGTCATACTTAATTAATCATTATTTCATATTCCAGTTCCTCAAAAAAATATGAAACAAAAATTTAATCAATTAATGGTGCTAATTATTTAAAGTCAAAATTATTTTAAAAAAACAATACTTGTGAGAATGAAGTGTCTATATAGTATTATAATTTTACATAATTCTAGCTTATAATCAGATTTATAAATATTAAAACAAATAAAATAATATATTTTTAAAATTAACCTATAGATGTTGACAATATTCTACAACTAGATATGTTATGGCGTTTAGCTTAATAATATTATGCATTAATAAATATCAGAAGAACTTAGATTACAATAATAAAAAATAACTATCAAAAAAATACTATAATATATTCCAAACATGGAAGAATACTATTTTATAGAATATCTGAAAAAAAGTCAATCAATGACTCGTTTAAGTAGTAAAAGAAATAACTAAAGAACTTAATTTTACTTACTATTATACATTTTTTCTCACCAAAGTATTTTAAATTTTTACTCGTTAGTGTCTCTACCACAGACACATAAGAGTGGAGTGCACATAGAGATACATGAATCAAAGATAGGTGTTAACAGGCCTGAACTAGAGGATACCAGCCAATTATTCTCAGTAAGCAAGTTGTCCATAAGCCCACAGATAGAAAATAAAAAACTTTTTTTTGCTCATTAATTGTTTAAAAAAAACTCAAGTATTTGATTACAAAATTGAGACGTGCGGCCCACTGTTGCTGTAGCACAGTGGGTCAATTCAGGCTTAAATGTGTGAGACTGTGAGAGAGATAGAAATAAGTTAAAGTTACTAAAAATGATACAGGTAAGCAAAAATATACTTAATCATAGGAATATTTATTTATATATTCATATCATGTACTAATTACCTAAAACATATATCTGAAATTCATAAATGTAAACATAGTCCATTATTAATTTCTGAAAGTTTATATAAAAATTAACGTTTTATTAAGTCAGAGTCGATCAGATTTTTTTTATACAACAAATAATTGCAAGTATTAAAAACATTATTTATACATATAAATATTTATTACTAAAATTATTTATAATTTAAAAATATAAATTACACGTAATTTTACGTCATAATACTTGCAATAAATTATTTCTCTGATGTTAAAAATGAATTAGTTTTGCATAAAATTGTCTAACTCTATTCACTATTGTTCGATTTCACTTGAATTTATATTAAAAAAGTTACCTATTTGAAATTTATTATGGATGTTGAATATCGATTAAAGAGACCATAGATATAAAATATTTTAAACTATTACATAAGTATAAATTATGTGTATAAATAAGTACATGTTTATACTTTGTCTCAACCTCTCGTAGTTATGTTTTAAACTAATATATAATATTTTATTTTTAAATTGTACTTAAAACATTTTAGTAATAAATATTTATATATATTTTATATATATAAATAATGTACCTACCTATTAATACTCGTAGTTGTTTGTTATAAGTTATAACTCATAAAACTACAAAATTGATTGATTCTGACTTCATAAAATATTAATTTTTTAATATTAACTGTTAAATGTCAATGGACAATGTTTACTTACTTATATAAACTTCAGAATTTATGATATATTTATTATTTAATATATAAAATAAAAATAAAATATTTTAAAGACTAAGTGTCTAAGTATATTTTTCCTTCTATCGGTTTTGTTAATTCTAACATAGTTTATCTCTCGTACATAACTTTGATTCACGTGTCTTTCTCCATGCGCAATCCATTCTTTTGTATGTCTATGCACAGCGCATGTTCATCTCCTACTTTAAATCTACCATTCATATGCTCACTGCAATGAAGCCCCTACGCACAACTCTGTCACTGGAGAACGATCTCATTCTATAAATGGAGTTTAGACATAAGTTTTAATTTATATCAAAGTTGATAAATGGTGAAAATTAATATTGTATTAAATTGTATTTAAATGACTGTAATGAATATTGGCACTTTAGTTCAATTAAAACCATAAAAATGAGAAAAAATAACTAAAATCATGTCAAACAAATAATATAATATATAATATGATTCAGCTTTCAGTGATTAAAGATTAGAAAATATGGGCGCATGTAAACTCCGCCAATGAAAAAAATCAGGTAAAATTGAGTTCATGTAAACTCCGCCAGTGAAGAAAATCAAATAGTAATATAAAATCAATATGATATATTATTAAAAAAAAATTATAATATAATATCATATCCATTTCGTTCATATTAAATATTTAAATCATAATAAATAATCTAAAATCATATTTTTCATAATAATAATTAATAATTATCCACATTAAATATACATAAATCATAGTAAAAAATAATCATTATATGTAATAATCCAAAATCATATTTTTCATAGGTAATAATAATTAATAATTGTCAACATTAAATATACATAAATTACAGTCAAAAAATAATAAATAAATAATTGTTATAAATATTGTCATGTATGAAAACTATAATGATTATGTGATACAATTTGCAAATATTATAAGTCTTGTATTTCTTTATTAGTATACCTATTCATAGAATCCTGTAATACTGTCATTTTTTTTTTTTATTTCGAATTTTTTAGTTGATTTACTTGAGATATGCCATTTAGTTTAATACAAGTTTGGGTTTGAAATTCGATAAAAACTTTACTAAAAATGTGAACATTCGGATGACTTTTATAAAATTAATTTCTCAGATGACTATGAAAGGATTCATAGGCATTTGTTGTTCGATTTGAATTTTCATTCTGATCAGCCCACAAATGAGGAGAAAACGCTGCGTCATTACTTATATAATTGTCAACAAGGTAATCTGAGAACTTAGTTACTCTAGGGTTAGATGGCATGATTGCTTCTAAAGTAAATGCAAATACATCGGGAACTTTTCGGGAGATAAAAATAATAATCCGAAACATAGATGAAGCCACTTAATTATTTCTGATTCACTTTTATATTCAACACTCAGTCCAAAGTTTTGAATTGCCCTCCACCATGATTGGCTGAGATGAAATCTATATCCTACTAGATTAACATCAGGCCATATTTTTTCGCATGCATTATGAATTGCTAATTCAAAATCGACAACTATTTCTGTTGGACTAAAAACTAAATTTAACTCTAAACATTTTTCACAGATTGATTTGAAACAATTAATGTAAGTCTTTTGTTTTTTATCTTTTAAAAGACAGAAAACAAGTGGTATATAATGTCCATTAAAATAGCCATGCAAAGTAAATAATTGATAAAAAAATTTAACACAATAATCAAACTTCCATCCACATTCATCCACATAAATTGTTTCTGAGATACATAAATATTTTAGATTTGTAATACAACTATATATATATATATAATAATCTCACTATCGAAATTAGATAAAATTAAAAAATTTTCATCTCTGATCGTTTTTGGTGCCATCTGAATAAGCGAAGAGATAACTTCAGATCGCGAAGTTGGAACTGGTGGCATTAATTTTCTACGTGCATTATACATGTTTTTCTTTACCAACGACATGTAATTTGAAGTTAAATTCGTAGAGTTTTTCATTGTACTACTACAACATTCTAATCCCATGATTAATATTGTAGCTAAAAGAAAAAATATATCAATATTTTAGCTATAAGAGGTGTATGCCATTTACAAAAAATGACTACATGTGTCGTATGCAATCTCTCATTAATCATTTTTTTCTGTTTGTGTAGATAGCATGCGACACATTTACTTATTTTATTACTATTTAATTTTGAAATGTATTTACCCGGTTTATCACGAATATCTTCCACCGTTTTTCTCTTTATACGACTACTTATTTCTTGTCTTTCTAGTGTTTGGATTGAAATTGGAAAGCATGAAGTAATGTGTGTATCATTTGCAAAATGTGTTAAAGTTATATTATGTTGCTCAGCTCCAACAGTTTTTATAAATGCATTACAGTTTTTGTTATTGCACCTCCATTTTATTTCACCAGACGCGTATTTTATATTTTTATTATACTTATAATTTTTAAATACAACCAATAAATTGCCTCGTTGACCAGTAATTAATTTTATATAATTATATTATTATTTTCTTGCGACATATTTCGTTCGGACATATACAAAATCAGAAGTATCGGAAATATCGGAAATATACACAGAGACACGCAGACTACGAATGATTATGTTCGTCAAAGTATACGTAAAGACGTATACCTTACCTACTGCCCATATCATCATTGAAAATCCTGATTTCAGATAATATGAAAATAAAATTATTAATAATTTGAATCGATCTAACCTTGACAATATTTTATCAATTTTGACATATATATCATCACAATAGATGTAAACGTATTTATTGTGAGAAGGCACGTGGCAATGTGAGCACTGTCGCACTGACCGGGTAAAAAAAAAAACTGGCGGAGTTTACATAACCCATCACAATACACAGGTAAGAAAAAAAAACTGGCGGAGTTTACCATAGACCTATTATTACCTTTTTATCTCGACCGATATTCTGGCGGAGTTTACAATCGCCCGAAAATATTAATCTATGGATTTTTACAAATGTTGACATTAAACACTGACTTAAAATTACTATGGAATATCGTATGTGGTCTTGAACGTTTGATGAACATTTTTCATTTACCAATCTATGATTAAATATTTTTATACGATTTTTCTCAAAAATTGCATTTTGTAATAATTATAATATAGTTATTAATAAAGTTAGATTCTTCAAAACGACGACCATATATGTAAGTAAGATGATACTTAGATCCATACTTTGTAAATTTGACGGACTATATAATATATTAGACTTTTGCTTATTTTAAGCAGTAGTTGGAGTGTGACCTAACTGCTTATTCACAAATCACATTTGCTATAGATATATACAGTATTTTTTTAATATTTATCTTTTTCCATGTAAAAAAATTATGTTTGATCGTAGATTTATAGCCCTTCCTTTTATGTACTCATCACTGATTTTAAAACGCATGCAACAATCACTGTCGGCTTAAGATATATCAATGAATTTAAATCAATATTTTCAGACTCCATCGATAAGATTAACAAAAATGGTAAAAAATATAAATAAATAAACAAATTGTTATTTTCTTCGCCATTCATGTTGCCATTGTTGAGATTAGATTAGGTTAAACTTGACGCCGTGGTGGTAACTTGTACAGTTGTATGCAGGGCCACTCAAAGAGGGTGGAAGGGAAATGGAATAATCTTGTCCCAGGCCTCATTTTTGGAATATTTTTAAGGGGCCCCCACAAATACATAATGTATAATAATTATTAATAACGATGTGTCACTGTTAATTAATCTACTACAAATTATTCTTCAATGTCTTGATGATCGCATTAAAATTTTTCAAAGCAAAAAACTTTTTATAGATGAAAGTTTGATGTATTTTTAACAATAAGCTATAGAATTCAACAGATAAAAGACCATTAGAATGACTTAATACTGGAATAAAAATCAGTACCTTTTAATTTGAATTCATCTATAGAATTTAAAAAAACTAAGTTTGAAGAAAAACATTCTACATGCTACAACATAACAAAAACATAAGTTACATTCACTAGTGTAGTAGTGTAAAGACCTAGGTACCTATCCATTAAATACTTGCTAATCTATGTAGGTACCTAATTGGAATCAATAGCGTATCTGATGGAAAAATTAATCTTAAACGTTAAACGTTTATGCCGTTTTTCCAATAAATTATTCTTTAAGATGTATTATTTTCGTCTTATTATTACCTAATCCATAACATTCTTGAAAATTATGTGAACAAAAAATTAAAAAATTTTGAAATAATAATTGATTTGTGATAAAATAATTGCCCTATATACCTATTATTGTAATCCAAACACGTATAAATTTAAATTAACAAACTAATTAATATATATTGTAAAGTAATTATATAACGCACTAATAAACGTACGACGCCAACGGGTCGTGTAACTCGACTGCCGTTCCAATAAAACATACTATACCAGTATTATATAAAATGCTACACACAAATATGAATGTGTCATCTCAGCAGTTTGCTTCCCTTATAAATGTATAACTATATATCTAATCTACAGTATGACAATACTACTTATTGTATACTATCTACAGGGTAATAACTAAATTATAATTTAATATTTCAACAATTATAATATTATTTATATAAATAATAAATGGTAATAAAGTTTTTTTTTTTTTTTTTGCAGTATTTTATAATGGAAAACCCTAAAGTAATATCATGTCCATGGGACTTGAATACCTATTTTGGGCGATGGATGTATTATTCTTGGATTACTAATCCAAAATTGAATTTCATCTCCTCTGCTACGATTGAAGAAGCCAAATTAATACACTTCTCTTATTTGTAGGTACATACCTATATTTTTTCAAAAAATTAATCAATTTAAAATTTAAATTATTAAACAACGAATAATGATTAGGTATATTAAATCAGAATTTCTAATTTTTATATAATGAAATAATTATCACTAGCGACTAGCATATCAAAAAATATAAATAATTAATAATTAATAGATATAATAGCCAATAAACCAATAAGCAATATACCTACCTAATTATTTAGGTATTTCTACATTTATTCTCATCATTATAAATTAAACATTCATCGTCAATAGAATAATACATATAAAAATATAAAATATAAAATACTAATACAGTAAAACAAAAAAACCTATATTATTTATTGAAAATCAATTTTTTATTCACTATCTTTATGACTATTAAATAGTGTATTATATTATATTATTATACTTTAAAATATTTATTTAATCAACTCATTTAGTCTTAATACAATATAGATATGGATCAATTTCAAATGAAATCACTGATAAAAAACTGTTACAAACACATCAAATCTACGAAAACGCAATTCACCCAGACACGAATGAAATAAAAAACATTTTAGGGCGATTGTCATTTATACCAATTGGAAAAGCATTATTAGTTGCTGTTTTAGTATCTCAATTGACGTAAGTTATAGGAATTAAACCTTATGTCCTTATTGAAAACTTAAAATTTTTTAATTATTATTATAAGTACAAGATTACAAGAACAATTACAAAACATTTGGTGAAACACAAAAATTTTTAAGTTTTTCCTAAGCACACTATTTTTCTTCGATTTTGATTTATAAAAAAGAATATCGAACATAGACTAAATATATTTAATTAAGTATATATTATAACTTATAAGTAAGAAATAATATTAAAATTTTGCTAAGCTAAATAATGCACTAATATTTTGTGTGATTGGTGTCACTATTCAATTCGCCTAAAATTTCAAAATTTGATTTTAATAAAAAAAAAAAATGTTTCGTTATCGTCAGAATAAATAAAAAGTGCACCAAAATGCTCTCAATCTTCATATTTGATAAATTAATAAAAAATATTATTTAATTTTATTAATTTTAAATATATTATATTATTTATACAAGACACAAATATTAATACGTACCTATATTGTACATTGGGTAAACTATCGTGTTTATTCATTCTCGCAAAAATTTAATTTTATATAGAGTAAAAATAACATGGTAAGTACTATAAGTATTGGTCTCAAAAGACACTCCCTCATAAAAAATAACCATCCACCGAGTTGTGATTTTTGGATATATTATCTATCTACATAAATAAATAATATATAATATCTTTTAATTAAACATAATTTTTTATGTTTATAAACTAATTAATAAATATTATTTTATAATAATAATTTACTACCAAGTACCAATACCTGTTTAAAAATAAATAGTTCAAAGAATACATTTATTTACCTTCATTACATTAATTATAATATTTTAGAAAGAATTCTTCCAGCTATATTTGGCATGGTCTTAATCAATCATACGATTCATTTGTAAACTTTACAAACCGTAACGGAGATACCAAATTCATTCCAACTACTCAGTCTAGATTCGGGATATCCATTTTGGCTGCCACGGTAACATCGACTTTTGCTGCATTTCACATTGAAAAATTTCTCGTTAGCAAAATATGTCATCCAATACTTCATGTAATTATTTCAATTTATCCAATAATATTTATTCGATATTTTCTTAATTCTTTTTTTATTATCTTCATTTTTTTCCAAATATATAATATATTATGTGTATTAACATGATAATTAGTAATTATACTCTTTAATAATTGTATAAATATTTGAAGTCCCTACAGATTTAATAAGAATAATAAAAGCTTGATTAAATAAATTCATTTATTTAAAATTAAAATAATATTTATTTAATATATATTAATTTAATTTTTAATTATCAATAGCTGTATATTCCATTGATAACATTCGCGGGTGCCAGTTTTATAAATGTTCCAATAACAAGACACAAAGAAATCGTCGAAGGCGTGAGGATATATGACTGCAATAAAGAAAAAGTTGGATATTCAAGAGTTAGTACTTAGTTTTTTGAGTCAAAATTTGTGTAAGTATAATTATTTTAACAATATTTTCGCTATTTGTTTACAGTTTGCTGGATTAAAAGGTATAGGAGAAACTATAGTTACTAGAATTGTAATGCTAGCTCCTGGAATAGGTATGTGAGAATTCTTAAATATTAAATAATATAATATATAATTAATACATTATGTATGGCTAAAATTATTTTATCAAAAAATATTTTACTTACTTCCTATACGTAATGATATCTTATGATAAATAATTAAATCTAACCTTATTAAACTAGTTTTACAATTTATCTTGTAATCCAATCAATTAGCTGTGGTATCTAATCAGTGGCTAAACGCTCAAACAACATAGGAAAAATTTAAAAACCAAAATTTTTTTTGTTATTATTGTTTTTTTTTTTAATACATTTTTAAGCACATAAACTCGTTTGTCATATTCTAGTAGGGCAGTTGTCAGCAAATACATTTAATTCTTTTATTTTTTCATACCAATATTTGTATTCTTATAGTATACGCGTATTATATTATTAAATATAGGTACTTAAAATTTAAACAAATTCGTACAAATGTACAATCTCTGTAAAAATGTAATTGTTATTATTTTTAGTATTAATTCATTACATAGAAAATGTTTTGGATAACAAAAGCTGCTGGTTTAGAAAAAATAAATGGGCACATTTTCCCTTTAAATCAATTGGATTTGGAATTTTGTAAGTACTACATATATTATTATATACCTAATAACTAAATTTTAGCGGTATATATTTTACTAAAATAAGTGACATACCTACAAAAATTAAATAAAACATTCAGTTTTTAATACATAGGTACCTAATTTAATAATTATAGCATTATAGGTACATCATTAAGAATTAAATCTAACAGTAGAATATATAAGTTATAAAATAATAATGGAATTATTTTCATTATGAACCAATAGATACATGTTATAAAGGACTGGGAGATTATAATTATGATTAATTCATAACATATACATAATAAATTTATTATGATTATGTTTTATTTAAACCAGACTATTTATGTTCCATATGATCTCCCTCCCCCATCTATACATATTTTCTAATAGGTAATATCATACAATCACCTGGAGTATTAACTATTAATAATGATTATTTAAAGTTTAAACCCTCATAAAAACTATTATGTCAACTAATCTACCTACATCAAAATCTCTCCTTATCCTTAGGTACATAAAACTCAAACGACTTAACGAACTACAAAAACGAATAATTATTAGCTACACTACAAAATAACAGAATTGACATCGCATTTATCACTGAAACTCATTTTACCAATTTTTCACGTTTTAATCTACCTAGCTTCGAAATCTTCAGAATCAACCACCCACATGGCACAGAACATGCTGGAGCCGCTGTTTTAATCAGATCATCATTATTATACTACTCCCTTCTTAAATATCAAACCGTTAACCGATTATATATTTAAGCTGCCGATATATCCGTAACAGCAAACAACATAAATATCTATGCAGTATACTATCCTCTACGTCGTACTCAGTGCCCGATTTAGAATAGATGCCGCCTTAGGCTCTTTTAAATATACCACCTTAACCCATAAAAAAAATGTAGTATTTATTTCTCAAATTCATGGATTTACTTCTATGTTTTTTAAATATATAATATTAATTTATGCAGTTACATAAATGCATAAAATATTTTTATAATTTTTTTTCATTTCTTACAAAATTTGCCGGCCTAGGCGTAAATCCGGTCCTGGATTCGTACTATAAACTTTAACTAATTTAATAATTTCTTTCTCACACTTGGCCTAAAATTCATAATAGGTGAGATTAATGCAAAAATGAAAAATCTCACACTGAGGCTGCAGAGCAAATAACCTTCGTGGAATTATTCTCAAACTATTATCTCAATCTCAAAATTATAAAATTCATGCTCCTCTTTCACCAAACTATTGGCCCACCTAAAGGCCACATGTATTTGATTTATCCATATTAAAAATCCTAAATAGCCAACATACTTTAACAATTTATCTAAATGAGTATGACCTCTACTCTGACTGCTCTTCTATCCTATTAACTATTGACACTACTCCACTGTCTCCACTAAACAAACCAAAACAATACCCAGCCTTGTCCAAGCCCGGATGGACTGAAACAATTTAGATTAACTCTTGAAAATCAAACTAATCTAAAAGCTAGTTAAAAATTCTTTGATAATAAACGAAGCTGTAAATCTCTTAACCAGGGACGATCTCAAAAAAAAATCATGGGGGGGTGCAGTCTTCATAATTTCCGACTAAAATTATTTTAACCTTTTTTTATGCTTTTTTTATCTAATGGCTTTTTTTTGCTGTCTGTGCGCCCCCCTCCCCATGGAAACTTTCTGGATCCGCCCTGTCCACCCCCCAAATAAGTTTGTAAATACGCCACTGATATTTACATCTGCTAGTTGCACGAAAAGTTGTATCATTTCAATAAAATAAATAATAAAAAGGGATTTAACTTTAAAAACGAAACAAAACACTCACTTGCTAAATGTTAAGCAGCAGCACTTGCAATGATCTGTGGTTGCATATATTTTAGCAAACATGCCATGAATACGAGTAAATAATTATCTTGGTTGATGGGTCATCCGCGGTTCGCACTAATATGTGGTGAATTTAATATTATCAACAAAATCTGTAGCGCTGCAGATTACATTGAGTTATACACTTGTACAGGACATAAACATATTATATCTTCTAGTCGTGTGGGGATGCGTGGAGAATTCAAGTAGGCTATTTTCACACATTACAATGATATAATTTATAAAAATATTATTATGAGTAGACGTAACCAATAACAATGCGATAAATTTATAAAATGTTATCTTATATTATGTAGTACACTAATATATTACATATAAAGTATATATTATGTATGTATATGTATGTATAGTATATATATATATAGGTTGTTTTCCCTGATGACGTGTGAGGTGATGTATGCTAAACACATTGTATGCACATTCCATGCGACTATAGGCGGAACGTTAGGCGGGGGAGCCACAGTATAGACCGAGGGAGTAGGGGGAGGGAGCCACTAAGTGGGCGGAGACTGAAATAGGGGGGTCCCAGACCGGGCTATTTCGTACAACTAACAACAATAACAATTAAAGCGATGATCAAGTCTTCACCACGCGTGTTCAAGACTTGGAGAGTTGAAGATATCGAAGTGATGACTTGTAAGTAAGCGACAATGGCTTCACGGAAAAGCACTTTTTATCGTCCGTTTTTGGTATTGGCCGGGGTTTGGCCAGTAGCTTAATGTTTTCTGACGCCTCATACTTAAGAGCAGCACAAGATATGCCAGTTTCAGTTGTTGCTCGTTGAGGCGATGGACATAATATAACTTGAATTTTTGTATCAGGAGGATCGAGGCCCTTATTGCACCATGTAATCTGATAATCAACTTCTGTGAAATAGTATGTACGATATAATGATATTATAATGTGTATTATGTATACACGGCGTTGTAGATAATACGAAGACGAACTCAAATGAAAACTCTAGGATGAAATAAAAAACAACAAAAATATATTGAGGAACAACATACTGATGACCGGGCTGAATAGAGATTCGGAGCCAAAGATATTTAATTTTAGTTGAATCATATACAATTTTAAAGTTGTAATATCTTTAAATTTTTCTATAGGTACCTTTAAAGAGCGTTATTGTGGTCATATTTTGTGAAATAATATACAAATAGCAAAACTAAACTATTAGCGACGGATCTTCTGGCCATTATAATTTACAATCATAAAGAGGTTTTAGTACAGTAAATTACGGCATAATTTTATAAAAAAAAGTTTTCACGGTTTATGATGTAAATTACTTGAATATGTACTTTTATTTTAAATGTTGTTATGTTTGTTTGATCTGTAACGCTTAATTTTCCTAGACTCAAAAACAGTTAATGTTAAGAAGTATAAAATGTTTATTGAAAACGTATCTTAAATTTTAGTCATTAGTAAGGCTTGTAAGTTGAAGGAGCTAAAACAGGCAAAATATGAATACAAATATGCACGAAAAAATTATAACATAGGAATGCATTAAAAACGATATTAAATATGCAAAAAAATTATTCTAAATTTCAAAAAAAAAAATTACATCAGATGTTGTTAATAAATTCATAAAATAATAATATACATAAAAACTGTTTATAACTGAAAAAAATATAGCTGGTTAGCATTTTAACATCTTATTGAGCTGAAAATATTATTAAAAAATATTGAAAAAATATTTTTTAAATTACGATAAATGGAAACAAACTTCCAAGCTCTATTCATTAGTATAATAATTTACACAGTGGAGAAAATCTGTTTGGAGTTATTGCAGATTTAGATAATATGCAGATGCCTAGGAGTATGTTTTTCTATTCACTTACCACGATGCTTACTCGTAATTCATACTATATTATTATTGTCATAGTTTTACTAGCAATAGTTTCGCTTACCATGCAGATAAACGGCATTCACTCGAATCAGTGGTTTGCGCAATCGCGCCAACGGTTTAGCCGGCCGTTCAATTCTTGAAGATGGACGAAAAAGTTTTGATGCCCCATTCATGTCAGCGATCTGATATAATATGAATATTTTTTATTTGGTATTGTATATTATGTTTATTTGGCTGCCCACATAATAACTAGAATTCAACTATTAAGTTATTATTATTTAATTTACGTTAGATCTTCAAATAGCCACTATTAATAATTTTATTGGACTCACTATAATATTGTACACTTAGTTTAATGAATGTTCTTTGATTGACAATTATTGACATGTTAACAATTTAAAAATCTATCTATAGTACAATGTATCTTATTACTACAATAACGTATTATTAAGACATCAAATCAGTCTAAATTGTAAAATGTGATTGTAGTTAAAAAATATATTATATTGTAAATACTTCGATAATAAACAAATCCTTACATTATTAGTATTATTGATATAAACAGTAATATATTATTATAATAAACGTATTAGGTATATCATTTTATTTTATATCATTCAGTTTTAAACACATATAATGGTAAATTAACTGGCTGGAAAGTTATGTAAACAACATTGTAAAAATTTCTAAAATTAAAATAGCCATTTTTTTGATATGATTTTTTTTTAAATGTTTGCAAAAAAAAAATGAAAAATATTCAACCATTGAGACATTTATTTTATACGACTTTTTAAAGTTAACACAATTTTAAATCATTTCAAATAGATTTTCTGGATAATCGTTGCAAGTTGCAACACTAATAAACAAGAAATAATTAGAGCAAACTAATTAAGCAAACTTTAAAAACTATTGACTCAACCTTAATAAAAGTATTTGACACTAACATTTTTTTAAAAATCGGACTTACAAAATGGCTATCGTGATTCTTACAACACAATATGCGGGTGCAACGTCATCTTAAAAACTTTACGAAAAACCGGTTGTTGAATCGAATATAAACTTCAAATACAGTTTACAGTCTTTACCACAACTTTCATTAACTACCCTACTTTTAAATAACGAAAAATATAATATATTATTATGATTATTTACCATTTTACCTTGTATCTATTATTATATTTTTGAATCCTGCTCGATTATTTCATAGTAAATCATTCATGATAATATGTAAAATAAATATTTTAACTAAATTTATTTACAGACTCATTGGTATGTTACCAACGGCATGTGCTATATTTCCACAATTTAGGTAAGTTAATTGTTTTTAGTTCATTGACTTCAGCTGTGTAGTGTATAATATAATTTTCACTTTCCAGTTCTGTTAAATTGAGTACATTAAAGCAATTTGATAAAGAAGCTTACAATCAAGTCACAAAAAATTCTACTGAACTTACAGATACATTATACTTCAATAAAGGACTTTAAAAACATCATTAACTAATCAATTCATAAAAATTTGAATTATTTTGTTGTACTATATTATTAAATAGTCTATATTTACAATTTTTTAGTCGATAATAAAAATAAATAAATAGACTAATATTAAATCAAGCCTTAACTTAAGTTTAATTAATAATTTAAAGATTCTAGACATACATTTACATTTTACATATTATATTTACATTTAGTTTGATTTATTTCCATATTATTTTTTTCATCACTTACAACGTTGAGAGCATTATATCTACTTGTTGATACGAAAATGGGTTTATTATTATTTTTTTATTCGACGATGAATCACCCGTGGATAATAAACGTTTAATTTTGGATTTGGAGATTTTAAATTCAGGATCATTCATGTAATCGTATCACTCTTGAGGGTGTTCAAAAATGCATCATCACTTGAAACGCTCAGTACCTCTACGTGATATATTTGTATTATATTTATTTGACATATTATTTTTATGTCTACATTATCAAGGCCAGATGATTTAGGTGAAATAGGCTTTGTTCGTTATCGGATTATGTAGGTACGATAAAGATGACGACCGCCGCCGACGCGACTGTGGCACAGTCAGGGAGACTATGTGTGTGATAAACCAATTATAATTAGTAATTACTAATTTATTATGGATTTCTAATAAGGAATTAATTTGTTACACGAGGAGGATCTGAGTTCGATTAGATTTTTCTCCTGCATATAGGTGAAATAAAATAAAATGTTTCAGTAAGCATAGGTATGAAAAAAAAACGATTTATGCACAACGAAACTATCATGTGTAAACGGACTTCGTGCACGTTGAAACTGAAGTAAATACTTCTCAAGAAATAAAATCTATATTCATAAGTGCCTTAGATAATTAGATGAACCACATACTGACATAATGTATCAAATTTTTTCAACTTTTTTTTTTACTGAAATAGAAAAAAAAATACAATTAAGAATAACACTAATATTAATAACAACGAACATAAGTAATCTCTCGTTTGATGATATTTTTAATACAAAAATTTCAAAATCAAAAGTTTCCAAAATAATTGAGAATCTTTAAAATGAAACAGCTGTCGGATTTTATAAAATATCGGTAAAAGTCATAAAACTTATAAAGTATATTGAATTATTGAAACAATTATCATAAAATATAAAATATTTATTTAACTTAAGTATTGAAAAATGTACTTTTCCTGATAAATTTAAAATTGCAATAGTAATTCCTTTGTATAAAAGTGGCGATCATAAATATGTAAGTAACTATAGACCGATTTCAATGCTACATAATTTTTCAAAAACTCTATTCTAGAAAATATAATTAAAAACCTATTCATTAAATATTTAGAAAATAATAAAGTTTTGTCTAAAAATTAGACCTGGCTTAGAAACCGAATACGCACGCTATAGGTGCCATGAATCACTCATGTCACATATAATATATAATGCCTTTGTTAACGGTAAAAAAATTCAACAAAATTCAACTTACAAAAATTTGCGATAAATTGGGTAGAAAAAAATAGAAATACGTAGTACAATACACAGACATACCAAAATAAAAGAAACAAAAGGCTTTAGATGTTAAAGTTAATCGCGAAAAAACAATTTGTAGTCAAAAATTCATTGATTATCTAGGGCTTAACTTATTTGATTCATAGAATTATGACATTAAGTAGAAATTATTATACTATAAAAACTAAACAAAAAAAGGTAATAAACGAATGGTTATTATGCAATTTACCATAAACCTAATTTTAATTGTTTATTTTATGCTATGTTATATTATTTTTATTTCTCATATTTCAATTTATAAAAAGTTTATTTATTTATGTTTTATATTATATTGAATCATTTAAAAATTGTAATTTTTTATCATATACTAAATAATATTGCTTATTTGTATTAGTTTTATAATTTACAATCTATATTAATTAAAACTTTAACTTTTTATCTCCAACACAAGCCAAGCTTAGGAGGTAGATAATTGATAAATTGTATGTATATTTTTTTTAATTACTATGTATATAGTCGTTTTTGAACAATAAAAAAAAAAAAAAGTTAACTAGTTCTTACCAATAAATTTCAAGGCTTTTTATACTAACTCGATATTAATAGGTAAGTGAGTTTACCACTAAATCAATTAATAGTCATATTAAAATGATTATAATTTATCCAGTAATTAACTATTCTATCCATTGATTAAACTGATAGACTTTGTCAAAATTTATTTTTGTTAGATTATTGGCTAAAAATTGATAATGAAGATTATATGATTAGTACATTTTATATGGATATAATTAATTTTACAATAACAATATCTGTTATTACAAAAAAAAAATAAATAAATATTTTATTACTGAAAAATAAATACATGTCTTATATAATTTTTAAGTTTTAAATAATATACAATATTTAATAAAACATAAGATACATTTGAAACTAATGTTACTCAACAACTTCAAAACCAAATATATTTGAAATCTTTAAATTACAATACCTCTATTGAGGTAATTCAAATAAGAATTATTTACACATATGTAAAAAGTAAATTTGTAATAAGAAAAATGCCAACAATACAATTAAACAAAATTATCAATTATTAACTTTTAAATAAATAATAATTTAATTATACTTTATAGTATGTACTTAATGGTTTGAGAAAAAACTATAAATGGATATCAAACTTCTACTAAACTTATACTATTAACTATAATAATTGGTATTTTATTTTATTTTTGAACTCAATTTTTAAATGGTAAAGAGAAAATTAACATAATTAATAAAGTAATTAACTGTAATAAAAAGTAAAATAATTAAGCATTTGTATAAGAGACACAATAGTATCATATGCTATCTATGTAAAGGTAATATTTCGCACTTTGTTTAATAATTAATAGTGATTAATGTATTAAACAGTTTATACCTTACCAACAAAAAAATTAAATAATTATAAATTAACAACAAGGAAAAAACAATTAAACATGTAACAAAAATGTTTTGTAAAACATAAAACTTAAAGTGTTATGGGTACTATAGAGTATGATAAATAATACTAATATAATAATCATAAGCAGGCAAACATTGAATCATTTGAATAAACCAATGGTACTGTTAAGTCGACATTGATAATCATTTGTTCAGAATTTGTAGGATCAATAAATAAACATCTACCATCAGCATGAAGTACATCTAATGGAACACTATAAGGCTGTACTGGGCCACTCCATGAATGTTGATCAGTATCATTACATAGAGAACTAGTGGTCAGTATAGCTGTAGTTTGCGAAGCACTTGTATTGTCACCATATGACGAAACATGCTGAAAAAAAATCCAATTATAATGATAAATGTTATCTATATTTTGTCATTTATGATTAATATTGGGTAATAAACAATTTTTGTCTAATTCAATCAGGCCCACAATTAAATTATTTATGTCATCAGCTTAGGTTTTTAAAAATCAAGCTATGGCCTAAAAATTGCTTTATCGCGTTAAGCATAAGTTGAACAGTTTTCATTATAAAGTGACAATAACAAAAGCATGGCACTCTGGGTGTATTATTTATACTTATTACTGCCTAAACTTATTCTACAACAAAATATACATAAAATTACATATTATAAAATAGTACCTGAATGGTGGCGACAAATGTGTGACTGTAGCCATCAAATGCAACTGTGATTATGTAAATAGTATTTTGTATAAATTGTAAATGGGTAAAAAAACAAAAGTTTTGTATATCTTGACACCTGAACACGTGTGAAATTGAATTTCCATAATATATCATTTCTTGGTGACACTAATAATCAAACAATTAATACATTTTTTAAATTAAAAATAATATTTACGTAAAAATGATATAGGTGATTAAATTAATAACAATGTCTTACTGTAAACAAATGAACATATAAAGTTGCAGAGTGTGAATACCATAAGCAACCAGCAATTGGACAAGGAAGCATATTTGCAAATTCTGCTAAAGTATGATTTGATGCTGTTGTATTTAATTGCTCGTTTAGCCCTGTCTGTTGGTTTGAAATAGGCTCATTATGATTCTGCAACTAAATAATAATTTGCTTTAGTAAGTACAAATAAGTTAAAAACAATTTTTAAGTTACGTGTTCTGGAAAAGACCAAGGACTTGTTAATAATCTAGACTCATAGTACTGCAAGGTCCTGATCACTTCACAACTGGAATCTGGTAGCTGCATGAATTGAACATCATTTGTTTCTATGTAATTTTGAATAACATCGTTTTGTACTAATGCTGTATCTTGTGGCCCTAACAAAGAAACCTAAAAATACACTAGATTAACATTTTTTGATCTAATGAGGGTATTAGTATTTGTGGGAATAATTTACATCATCTAGTGAATTAAAAGTTTCACAATTAACAAAAGGTGTTGACATTTCTCCACTTTCCATACGAACTGACATAGCCCAACGTTGATCAAATTCTTGCTGCTCTTGTTCGATGTTTTCTGCAGATTCATTACTCAAAGTATCAGAGTCATCAATACACAATGTTTCTGTATCAGTTTGATCATTCCTATAGAAAATACATTATTTAAAACTGTGAATAATTATGTAAAATATTCATTTAATTTTACATGCTATAGTTTGAATTATCTAGCTCAAAACTCGCATTAATATCGACATCAGCAAGTTGTGGGATATCAGGAAAAGACTGAAGATTAGGTAGGTAACTATTTCCAGATACAGTAGATTTGATTTCATTTGTAGGCATGTTCAACTTTTTATTGCTGTTCTTCCACTTACCCTAAAAAATAAAAACAATAATGTTGATAAATCACAACATCAATAATTTTTTAAAAAGCATTAATTACTCGGCTCGAATTTTCAACAAACGATGAAGTTCTATGTGAAATTTCTAGATTTAGGGGTTTTGATTTATCCAACTAAAACATTATAATTTATTAACAAAATAATAATAAATGACAAACATTTACAGTTTATTAATGAAATAAAAGTTTGCATTTTGTATTTTATAAATAGAGATACAATCTTCTAGTTTATGCAATTAAACAATACACTGAATAGTAACTCGACATATGCATACCTATTATAAAACACATATAGAGCATTCTCACCAGACACCTTCATTGGAACATGCTGTTAAGCCATCTTTGTTATGAACATTATAAGGAGCATGAGAACAATAATAATTGTGTTTTATAAATGATGACAGATAAATTCAATTTAAATGTTTTAATTTAGCAAAATAAAATAGATATACACATGACAGTTACATTATAAAATTATATACTTATAGAAAAAGAAGATAAAATATTGGTGAAAATTAAATACTAAGCTTAATTTTACAATTATTTTTTGTACAGGGGTATTTATACCATTGTTTCTAAGTGATTTAAACAGACCTCAAAAATGTATGTCTTCATTTTACAATAAAAATCAGTTAAAAACCATGGTTAATAAATGCCTAGCTTTAATAATAACTGTAATATTATATAATTTGTTAATATTAAAATAATAAGAAAATTCAAATAAAAAAAAAAAAAAAAAAAAATGGTACCTGATAATAATTACAATATGGATTGTTATTGTTTGAAATAGTAAGACAAGTATTTGTAGTAGATCTATTAAACCTAGTTCTATCTGTTGAAAGTAACATATTTCTTAAAAGTGCACTTGTAGTCTTTGCAATTGGAGGTTGATAGACAATGTTTTCCACAGAGCTAGAAGATACCTAAATTTAAAACCAACATCAAGTATAAAAAAATGTTTTTATAAATTTACTAGTAAAATAAAAAAACGTAAATAAAATTAATTAAAAAAATTCAACTAAAATAAGTATATATACAAAATTAAATAAATGTATTAACACAATACATTTCTCATATGCTCAGTTCGACTGTAATTATAGGGCATAATTATAGATTCTCCTGATTGTTATTTGTAGTTAAAAATGGGGAAAAGCGAAAGCTAACACATATTGATCAATATTTCAAGAGATATCAATAACCCACCCTGTTAGGTACTATTAAAATAATTATATTTAGGAATACAATATAAATACATACATGAACTTCAGAATTAGTCTTTGATGGTCTGACAGTTGAACGATTTTGAGCTTTTTCAACTGAAAAACTAGTAGCTACTTGAGTACGCATTTTTATAGTCTTTAATGGCGTTTTTGAAGACAACTCATCATACTTAATTTTTGATTTTCGAGGTCTTCCAACAGATCGCTTTTTTACCAGCTTCTTGGTATTGTTTCTTTTCGAGGTCTGCCTTTTTGTTTTCATTATGTGTGCCAAACTTTTACACTCGACGTGAAATCCCATTCGATGCAAATTTAATAATTCAACATACTCGTCTTTCTGTAAAATATACTTATTTTAATTAAAACACTCGGACAAAAGAAAAGTTAGACGAAAATGAAATGATGTGAAAACGAAACTGTATTTCGAAGACAAATCACCCAAAACGTTTGGTATAAAACACAACGTAGGTACATAGTATTACGATAGTATTTAAATTGAAATCGTACAGCAGACGAGGTGGATGGCCACAAGGTAATTCGCAAAAGAATAGCACTGCAGGCAAACACGTTGGTAGTCGGCCGAAAAAAATGTAGTTTGTGTACCACGGGACAGACGTTTGAAGACCAAAGGCCGTTGCCGCAAAGCACAGAGGCGACCGTAACAGAAATGCGGTGCAATTGACACTTGACAGATACACAAAACGTTTAACCGAACAAGACGAGACGCTAACGACGATTGATCACCCAGCGTCTGCACTGAATGGCGAATACCGAAATTCGATTGTCGGTCGCCGTCGATGACGGCAAAGTCCCTTTATCGCGACAGCCATTGGCCAGTTGAACTGTAATTTTTCGTACGTACGGTCCAAATGCGAAACCGGTTTTCGGCGGTTACCGCGTTCTAAAAATAGACGAAATGGCGACGGGAAACCCGGGAATAACGCCGCACAATCATCGTATCTCGGACGACCCACAGAACATTGATAGAGACAGCTCTATATCTACGTGTACGTGACAGGCCGGGTATATATTATTTTGTAGTATATACCGTTTATATAATCAATGATATTACAATATTTCGATATTATATATATATATATATATATTTATGTATATATGACCACGATTTTACGAGATAATGAGTAAAACACCGACGACGTCTTGCTCAGTAATTATTGTCGCGTCTTGTTTTTCGACGATTACAATATTATTATTATTATTGTTGTTATTACAAAATGTGTAACTACAACACAATAAAACCACCTGCAACTGACCTTTAGATTGCCGGGCAGGCCGAAGCTCAGAGCACGCTTTACCAGCGTCCGGTACGATGTCAACTCCATTATCGCGAGTCGTGCGGTGCCGTTAATTGCCTTGATATATCACTCTCTTACCTGTCCGCAACCCGTACAAGCATAATATCGCACGGGACGGTTAAAAAAAAAATAAAAAAAATGTTCAAATAAAACACTCGGAAACTATTCTCGCGGACCGTTGTTTGAGTGTGACGTGTGTAACCCACGGCGGGCGTGTGTCTAGTGTCTAGTGGAATGGCCTATCCAATACTTTTGTTCGAATCCTTTAGGTTATGATCGTTTTTTTTTTTTTACAAATTTTAAAAATAGCCATACAGAGCAATCGAAATGAAAATAATCCGTTTGTTGATACCTACGCGAATTTTGATTTGTACAGACATTATCTTATATTCGACCCTTTAATTTTGAATGATAAACATTCAACTCATTAACTCCCTAATCTAACACCAATTTATTATCCTTTCCACTACATAACTGTGTTTTCTTATACTTTTTTTTTCAAAAACTATTTTATCATTTTTTTGAAAACATAAACTATGAATTATCATAACAATACTGTCAATAAACAATAATATAATTTATTGTAAATACACAATACAATTAATTATTAAAAATTATACTTTATGCAGTTTATGCACTAATTGTTATTTAGTTAACATTTGAGTGTTCGTGTATGACATTATCACATTGTTATACATAACGTATTTATATTACATAAATAGGAAACATTAAACACATTTTAGTCTATGTAAAGTTCTTGAATATTGTACATCTTTACCTACTCATTAGTCCTAAATTATTATATAATATAAAAGTATATAACTAAGGTAGTATTACAGTAAAATCAAGTTTCTGTAACTATCCTTTTTTAAGGATAATATAAAAATAAAAATAATATTTTAATTTTTAGTACTATAAACTATTTCATTGAACTTTTTTTTTTTCAACATTTAATAGAATATAATATACAATCTGTAATAATAGTTACAATAAGTATATTAGCTGAATTTATACAATGATTATGAATGCGTGAGGTGAGTAGCTATCCAGCAGTAACACTCAATGTGATATTAAAATTAAACTTAATAATTAAGCGATTAAAATTGTTTATGATAATGAAAATTTTATTTAAGTACTACTTATATAGGACTTGTATATGCATATAATTTGATATTTTGTATAATTATTTAAACAGTAGCGATTCTATTACCTGGGTAACAGTTGCTTGTATCATTTTATTTGGTGTTAACGTGTTAAAAAGTTCAATACCATATCTTTTTGATAAGTCGAGTAAAATAGATATTTATCAGTTGAAAGAATAAAAATGTTTAACTATTATTTTATTTATCATTCGTTTAAGAGTTCAAATTTACCTGTTACCATTAATACACAATGATTTTTTTTTAAATTCTTAAACCATAAAAGTTAAAAGTATAATTTAATAATAATATTAATATATTATAAAATTATCTATACATTATTATCTTTCATAAACGATTTCATTAAAAAACATCATATTTTTAGTTTTAATATTTGTTTTATTTGTATTTTTAAGATTTAAAGTTTGAGAATGAATGATTTTAGGTTATTACAATTTACAGCTCATTATAAAATATTCATAACATTCATATACTTATATACGAAATTAGGATTCTATAACGATTATAACTGTCCCTAGTTAGTTGTTTATTGGTTCAATGAAAAACAATTAAGAAAATGTACTTTAGCAATACTTTAAGCACAAACTAAGAAAATATTACAGAGATAAAATATAATCATATAGATTATAGGTACCATTGATATTTTATTACCTACCTAACCGTCGACATAAATAAGATAGGTAGATAGGTAGGTACGTATCGCATGAACACTGAACTTCCTATCACATAATATGATGTCTATGTAATGTGTTACCACGATAAAGTAAACACTAAATAACTTCACAATTCACTTTGTCATATGTACTTTTATAATTTATTTATATAAGCAGTTTTATATATTAAACTATTACTATTGATTATTTGATTAAACTGATTAAAGAATAGATTAATGATTATTATAAAATCAATGATAATATATATTATATAATGACCAAAAAACATAATTGAACTTTTGAAAATACATCGGATGACGGATAACATAATTATACATCAACCTGACTTTATTATATTTATTTTAATAGAAATCTACTGTATCTTTTAAATAAGTAGGCGTAGCGATGGTGAGGCAGGAGTGAAGCAATGGGGCACTAGCCTTTCCCCCTGCACTTCAAACTAAATTACCTATATTTCTTATCCCAAACATGTAATTTTACTATAAAATGTGGAAAAAGTAAACAAAAAGGTCATCAGATAACCTAATCAACCTAAGTGCTCTAACCTGCGCTTTGGCTTTACACTAAATTCTATTTCTTACAAAACTATAAAATCGTAAAAGGTTATCAACTACACCCCCCTGATTAAAATCTTAGCTCTTTTATAAGTATTTATCAAGGAGAACGCATTTTGAAAAAAATATAATATATACATTATATTCTGAGCGAATGAATATGTTTTACAATTTTTTTTTTCTTTTAAATTTTAATATTCAATAAAAAAAATTGTTAGGATTAATAGTAGAAATCTTCCAGTATTTTTAAAAATAATCGGTAAAATCAAAAAAATTCGAAAGACTAACAATTGTTATCCTTTACATTTGTTATGCACGCAAAATATTTATTTTATTTTTTTTTTTTTAAATATTTCAATAGTATTACATGATGACTATATTGAATAATATAATTAAAGTTCACTGCAATCAATACTTTATAAGTTGTAACATACAACAATACCAATATATAATCGATTTGTTTTAAAAGCAAAACATTTAGTGAAGGTCAGAACATTTTTTATTTTATGATCTCAATTCGATCAAATACTACTTTATTGTCTATATTATATTGTTCCGTATAGACTGTATAGAGTAGGTACCTAATATGATATTTTAATCGGATTCAATGAATAAATACATAACGTTTCTTTAAGTTTGTCTAACACATATAGAATATAGGAATAAATAAGACATGTTCTTTGTCAAACATGCTTTGATTGATCCGGAAATAACATTTCTGATTTCTAAATGCAAATTTGAATTTGTTGTCAAGTCTACTAGAGATCGGCTTTCCTACAATGTTGATTTTATCATTTCAAATTTTAAAAAAGTAGAAATTAAAATATTGCTATACTTCAATTTTTGAAGAAGTAATAATGAAAAAATTAAAAACGTAACAAAGTTACAACAAAGTAGACTTGACGACAAATTCAAATCTGTTTTCAGAATTATCATTCAACTATTAAAGTCATGCTCTACACTTTTATAGTCGAGAGTTTAAAATCCCTTAATAATTTCAACATTTATTAATGTGATATTGCTTGAATTTCTATGATTCTATGCTTTAATACTATAGAAATGTGTGACGTGGGTAAACTGTTAAATGATTTAAGTAAAATAAGTATATTATTTATATTATAAATATTATACACAAATACACAATGGGATATTTCTCCCACCACTGTAATAAATTTATAAACAAAACTCAAATGTTTGATATGTGTTATCAAATATTGTGGTTTAGCGCCAGCACAGAATTTAATTTATACACTTTTTAGATAGTCATTTATATTTTTGTGTAGACCATAGAGTATAAATACAGCATACAAAATTGAAATGGCACACTATATTGATGTGTGACGTTTGTCGCTGTGTCTTATGTGTTTATGTTAACTGTTTAAAGCATTTAAAAGTTTAAAATTATTAATGTTAATAAATTATCGACTAGCATTAATAATTAACTGTTAACCTAAAGTTGGCATTTAAAAATAGTTTATTTTCTTAAAATATACTAATTTTTTTTGATATTGTAACTTTTTTTTGGTTCATTCAAAATCGTTTCTTCCTCTTTTAAGTAAAATGGAAGACGACTATGATGAATATCGTCGTTGGGATGGTGACGTTGATGTAGAGGTTTGTTTTATAAAACTATATAAATTATCACCAATAATGTTTACATTATACAAAATGTTAATCATTTTTGTAATTATATTTAACTGTTTTGTTGTCTAAATACCTATTTTTATTTAGGCTGATGACAATGATGACATATTAGAAAATCCACAAGAAACTCTAACTCAATGCTTGGAGAAATTTAGTAGTGCTGATTATATTATGGAACCAGGAATATTTTCACAGCTTAAAAGGTAATTTTTTATTTTTATAACTAGAGGTCAGAATAATATTCTCTTAAAATAGCCAAAATAAGATGTTGATATTCCCCTAAAATAATGATAATATTCTTTAAAAACTGTGATTAAATATGCAAAAAATATGTTTACAGTAATATAATCTCCTTAATTCAAAATAAGCTTTTAAATTAAAAAAAAAATACAATCTAATGTCAACTTAACATTTTATTAACTCATTCCATATTGTTATTCCATTTATAGTTATCTCAATAATAACGGATTAAAAACTTATTTAATATTATTAATAATTTTCATCTCTACAACAAAAAATATCCAAATTCTATAAAATTAATCAATATATTCTAAAATATGCAAAAAAAACTTTTGCCATTGAATTATATTATTCATAATTATTATAGATTTCAAACCAAAATTTGATTGCATAGACTCAAAAAAATATGCAAAAGAATATTATTCCAAACTCTACTAATAAGTTATGGAGTGGTTTGAGCAAAAGCCAAACTAGAAATTAGAAATATTTAATTTTTTATTGTTATGAGTGAGAAATACTTTAGTAGTATTTCTCCTAAGATTTTACTTAAAAATGCTAAAAGACTAATGAATTTGTAAAACGCTGAGTTTTCAAGTTACTTCCCAGGTTTAAGTATTGCCACATTAACTAAGGATTTCCATGTTGTTGGAATATATGATAGAAATAAAGCAGTATTATAAATATGAAAAATAAAAATTATTGTTATTGATGGTAGGTTTTTGATTAAATTGTTAGTACATAGATCTTGACCAGGAAACTTTTTGTTAGCCAATTTTTTAATTATATCACATTTTTCAACTGGTAAGATAGGTTTTGCAGATAGGATAGAGCCATCGGTTATAGATAATGAGTGATTCAGTGACCAATTTTAAGGGCATAGGTGGTGGTGAAATGGAATGTGGTTTAAATATATATGCTTACTCACTAATTAAGAAATTATAACTTATTTTATGTTTCTCTTCATAAAAACAATTATACTTCCATCTCATTTTCCCCCAGAGCTTTGACATTGGCAAATATTATAAATGATGATGTTGATTATTTTTGTATGTTGTGTAATGTATTTAAATAGAATGTCTATACGTCTTTAAATGTACTTAATTAAATTAATTTTTTTAATTATTATCTTGGTTGTTACAATTATTGTTTTTGTTATATTTATAATTGTTACTTTTATTATGTTGTTCTACTACTATTTTTGTCACACTTATTAATATGTAAAAACTTTTATTTTTGTTATCCATACATATATATATATATAAGCTATTTGAATTCTATCATTATGTTAAACAGAAAATGTATACACAATTATTTTGTATTCTGCTAAAGGTTTTTTAATTTGTAATTCAAGGAGTAATAGTTAAAAATAACTAATTTAAGTTTTTTTGTTAACTTATAAGTTATAATCTTATAATAGGAACTCATTTAGTCAATTAACTTATAAAATTTTTTCTGGTCTAATTTTATTTTATTAATTGATTTTTTGTGAAAAAAGTAATCTATTGCTAAATAATGAATTTTATATAATTGTATAGGTATTTTCAAGTGGGTGGAACTCCTGAGCATGTTATAGAATTGTTATCAAAGAATTATATTGGTGTCGCTCAGATGGCAAATATGGTAGCTGAATGGTTGATTCTAGGAGGTAATATATATGTTTATAATTTATAACTTTAAAATATTTCTTCATATTCGCTTCTGTGGAATTCATATTTTATTCAAAAATATATTCTTTAATTTATTTATTATTGTATGATTTGAAATAAAAATATTTTATAAGGTGTTGCGGTTGGTGAAGTTCAATCTTTTGTTGAAAACCATCTCAAAGATATGGTACTAAAAACATTTGATCCTAAAAAAGCAGATACAATATTTAGTGAAGAAGGAGAAGTATGTTATTTAATATTGACATAAGTTATTTAAAGGAATATTAATTTATTTTAATGTTTATTATGATTAATAGACTCCAGCTTGGTTAACAGAAATGATTGAACATAAAATATGGAGGTCTTTAATTTATAGATTAGCAGAAGAATATCCTGATTGTTTGATGCTTAACTTTACAATTAAGGTATTATTGAAATATTTTTTTATTTTACTTAACTTTATCTAGGGCTTTGAGTATGGGATATCATTTTTTTAAATAGCTATGAAATATATTTTATATTATATTAAAAATTTTATAAATTAAGGCATGTTAAATTCTACATATTATCATGAAAATAAATATTGTAATTATATATATATTATTTTTAAGTTAACAGTTATTGTTATATTAATCTTACCACAGTTTATTATTTCTTTCTTTTTTTGTCAGTGTAAACTTGTAGTTTATAGGAAAGTCTTACTATGTAATGATTTTCTGTTATCTTCTATCCAAAGAAGAGTTCATAATCAGGTTCAAACCAGTGATGGTGTACATCTGTCCTTTTATTTTATTATATTTTATTGTTATGTTTCTCAAAATAAAAATTTTTGATTAATGAATTAATTCTTAATAAATCATTAATAACATTGAATTAACTGTTAAATATAATCTATAATTTTTTTCTTTGATTTACAGAAACTATAATTATCAATTTATACTTACTATTAAATACTATATTTAAATCATTTCTAACCTTTTGGTATTTTATTCATTTATAGTTGATATCAGATGCTGGATATCAGGGTGAAATTACAAGTATATCTACAGCTTCTCAACAAATTGAAGTATATTCCCGAATATTAAAAAATTTTATTACAGAATCCATAAAAACATCCAGTGAAAATCGTCAAAATACAATTCAAGAATGTGCTGTAAGTTAATTTATCTTAGCCATATTATTATAAGTAATACTTTTTTAAAGAAAATGTTCAGGTTTTTATAGGCTAGATAGACTGTAGACATTTGTTTTAATAATCATAATAATTTTCATTAAAAATGTATTAATAATATTATTTTATTTATCAATTTAATAAACTTGAATAATGTATAACATAATAAATAAGCATTTATCAGTATAATATTTTTTGAATATCTTTTAAATATACATCATCATTATAGTTTAACAAATTATTTAAGTATTTATATTTCTAGTTTATGATAATTAATGTGTTTACTAGTTTTTGTTATAATATTTATTTTATTTTTTTCAGAAAATGGTGTGTCATAGCCAACATACTTATGTTTTTACATTAGTTGCTCTTCAAGTTTTATCTAAAGAAACTAATGGAGGAGTAAACATGAAGAGATTTTCTCAAGAAATAACTCGCTGTGCTCAAGAGAGGTATTAAATGAAAATCTAATCTATAAATTTAAGATTTTTTTATTAAATTTAGTCTTTTAAAGGAATGATGTGACTCCCATTACTATGGCATTAAATGGTGCTGCCCCGTATGACCAGCCTTGTGCAGCATTAAGTTCTATGTTATCACGGAATGCCTTAAATCCTGCTGATATAAATGTATTACATAAGCATTATTCTTCAGCAGATTCACCTCCTGTCAGTTTACTTAGAATACCACAATTTCTTGGTTAGTTTAATTTTAAGATATTACAAATATTAAATTATTGATTTTTTTCAAATAAGTATCTTTTTCTTCAGAATTATTAGTTCAGGCTCTATTTAAACCTGGAATGAAATTAAATCCAGAATACAAACCCAAGTACATATATCTTTATGCTTATTCTGCTAGTGTGTATGAGGTCACATCTGGTAAAAAAAGAAAAGTTATTAATAAGGATGATTTAAAATCTACAATACAAGCAGTTGATAAAGTTCATAGTATTTGCAATTTGAATAAAAGTTCAACAGAATTAATTGCTGAAGTTGCAACTATTTACCATTGCATCAGGTATTGATTTTATTTAAGAATAAATATTTCACTATGATAAATACAATACATTTTAGCATTAGTTAAGGTATATACTATATTTTGTCTAATAAAAGAGTATTTACCAGTAATAATCCACAACTCTTTACTATGGACATGTTGATGTGTGAACTCAACTTGCATGAAAAAAGTATGTTCTCTTTTAGAACAAAATATACAAGTCAACAGTCAAATATATTTATAATTTTATAATTGTAAGAATTTCTATTGTTTATTTGTAGATATCCCGCTGTTGCTGTTGGTTTAATATGTTGGGTTGAGAGTACTGTGACGGAACCCAGTTTCTTCAAGTTATGTACTGAACATACACCTACACATTTAGCACTTTTAGATGAAGTTGTTACATGCCATCCACAACTGCATAATATCATATTAAAGTTATTTGTGTCTCTTTTTGAATCTAAACAGGATGAACTAGAAATTCTAGTACATGTGAGTTAATAAATAAATTATTTGGTTAAGTTACTTTACTAAATTTTATAAGATAGTTTATTAATTTGTTGTTTTAAATTACTTTTAAATTCAAATTAATTTTCAAAAAAATCATTCTTAATTGTTGTTTTAGTTGGAGATGAAAAAGATGTTGCTTGACCGTATGGTGAACTTATTGTGTTGTGGTTGTGTTGTTCCAGTTATAAAATATATTGAACAGTGCTGGCATAGAGGAGATACTGATATTTCTTTGATACGTTATTTTGTTACAGAAGTAAATAAAAATTTATGTAATGAGTAAAAGTATATTTTATTTTTTTATTCTTATTGAATAGGCTTTGGAAGCAGTGTCTCCTCCTTATTCAGTTGAATTTGTTGATTTATTTTTACCAATTGTTGAAAATGAAGAAATAACTGGTACAATGCGATGTGATGGAGAAAATGATCCAGTTTCAGAATTCATTGGTTAGTATATTTTCATACTTTTGACTAAAAGAATTATTTTTGATTTTTAACTTATAAACATATTTTTTCAGTGCACTGCAAAGGAATGACAATATAAAATTATCGACATTTAAGATATTTAATAGAAGTATAAAAAAAAATTTATTTCCATGTATAGTTTACTTTATTAGTGTAAATTTGTACAAAACTATAAGGTTTAAAATATATTGTATTTTATATTTGCTTATCTTTTATAAATTATAACTAACAAAATAATTACATAATTTGTATGGTCATTGTATAACATTTTAATTTTTATAACAGTTTTGTAATTAAATAAGCTCTAGGATTATAAGATATTAAGTTCATGATCATATCTGGGGATAAATTATAATAATAATGTAATATAATGTCTGAAAAAATATGCATCTGTACAGTCTTTAGATTTAATGAATGAAATGTTAACTTCAAATATATATATCACCAATTTTAATACTTAAATTAAGTACATCTCTTATAATTGATTCAAATATATATTATTAGTTAGGAAAAATTGTCAATGTCGAATAGTATAAAATAAATTATTTAAAATCATTCATGAATTTATGATGTATTGAACACATAGTAAATAAATATTGAAAATGTTTTTTTATTATAAATTATATTTCTATGATTTATCCAATTTTATAAAATGCTACTAACATTTAAGTTTTATTAATATTTTATGGATGTATACTTATTTGTAATAAAAATTTCAGTAAATCCAAGATGATGATATTAGCAAATCACTGAAAAATGATAAATGGTATTCAAGACAAAAGTTTAAAAAACGTATACATGTATAAAATTTAACATTTTAAATAACAATGTCTAAATAAAGTTTACTAAATAAATAATAATAACTAATAAATATAAATAAATAACAAGCATAGATCCAAAAATGTTAAGCGGAGGAGTTCAAAACAAAAATTGGTTATGCCTTTCTATTTTAAATGATATTTATTAGTGTAAACACTTATAATAAAAACTAGATTTTAATAAATTTAAAAATAACATTAATTTCTAACCTATATTTTAACTGTAATTTTCTTGAGTATTATTTAGTGATTTTTAAAATAACTTCTAGAGAAATTTTAATATCTCTGTAAACAATAAGGAGCATTTAACAGATATTTTCCTATTGTTAAATCTTAAAGTGTTTTTGTTCACCAAAAATAGGACAATGTGCTTTTTGCAGTGTAAGTGGTCACTAGTATAATGCAATTAATTTGATTGATTCCTTTTTATTTTGATAAAATTCAAATGCATGGGTTAATACTTATACAACAATTTTCAGTTTATGTAATTGAGATCTCCAGAATTGTTTCCACGAATGAACTTCATCTCAAACTTCTTTATTAGAGCCAACTAGATCATTAGACTAAAATTTAGCCAATTCAATATTTTTTTTAATATCTGAATCGTTACGTAAAGAATAATACAAAATATTTAAATACATAATTGCTTCATGATAGCAACCATCAGATCTGTTTTTATTTTTAAGTATCATATTATTCAAAAATGGTAAGTATAAGATCAGATAAAAATATTGTTATAAATCTTTGATGCATTTTCTGATTACTTGTTTTGACACATTTGGATTATTTTTATTTCTAAATATTGGTTAATATTTATTATTTAATAAATTTAGTATAAATCTAACTAAAACTATAAATATTATTCCTTCTTTTTTTTTGTTCTACAACAGTTTTTATCATTTTCAACGATTGAAAATATTATTAATTTTAATTTTGCAGTTACTTAGAAAGAGGCTACTATTGTTAAACAATACTAGAATTATTAAAATATAATAACTTAGAAAAAATAACATAAGTGACGCAATTTAAAACACAAATTTATTTTATTGGCGGCCAAGATGAACACCCATATTCTTACCATGATTCCACATTTCATAAATAATATTCTATGATACATACCCAAGGATCTAGAGAAAGAGACTAACTTAACATGTTTAAATTAACAAACAAGACAATAAGTTTTTAGATGATTGAAATTCAATTAAAATTGTCTCAAAGTTTGCATTTTTTACTTATGTAAAAAGTATGCGAGCAAGACAAGAGTGAATATCAAATATATAATAATATATCCAACTTAAATTATTTAAATTATATTTTAACGTAACACAAATAATAAAATAATCAGCCATAGCCACATATTATGATCCATTTAAATCCAAATCAAAATGGATCAAATTGTAATCATCAAGCATTGTTGGTCATTAATTAAATGGTATAATTTGTTTTAATTGTAGAGATAATCATAAAATCACATTAAATGTTGTATAGATTAGTTACATTTGATACTAATTAATTCTGAAAAAAGTAACACTATAAAAAAAAAAAATGATTGTAGATTTGAATATATTACATTTATGTTGTTTAATAAATAATTAATATAATACATTTAAAAATATATACTTTTTTAAATTTTAGATATTCATATTAATTTATAAATATTGTATAAAATTAGAATGTTTCAAGTATTTACAATTTAATTAAATATCATGAATCTTCAGCATGTTTGACTCTGGATAGGGCTACATAAGATTGTTTATTGTTGTCATCATGCCATCCAATTGGTCCAATTTCACAGTCAGCGCAAATAAGATATTTAATGCCAGATTCAACAGTCTTTGAAAATCCAATATTATCAAACATATACATATCTGGAACCATCCAGTAATCTGTCAACAGTTCACATTCAACAGCCTCACAATTTTTTTTCTGAGACATGTGTGGAAGATTGAACTAAAAAATACAAATAATTACTACTCAATTTATTAAATAGTTAAAATAAATTGAAAAGTTACTTCGATTCTCAAATACTTTCCCATCGTAGATGATAAAATCTTGGACGGACATTTTGTGCAATAAACGGTGTGTTTGTTCTTTTCTTCAGTAATCAGATGATTAAAGTTATTCTTAACATCAAGTGTACTATCTTCAGTCATTTTAAAGAGTAAACTATTTTACATAAAGTATAAGTAAAATTAAATGCAAATAAATTATCTATTAATTAGTTAATAGTTGGACTTACCGAAATCGGAAATCCGTTTTATTAAGTTATCACTGAACTATGCGGTTCTTTAGTTTTGATAAAAATATTGATAACGAAGACCCTGGCTAATGAGTAATGACAAATATAGTAATTATCACAGATAAATATCTATGGTTATTACCAACATTGAGTATGACTCACATGAGGTAACAATGACCAACAATGACGGACTAAGATAAACATAAATAATAAATATTTTATCATTTACCTAATCTATAGAGTATAGACTAATATTATTATTAATGGTAATAATTACGAGATAGATAATTAAGATTTAGATCAAACAGATAAATTATTGTGTTATTGTAGATTAGCGATTAGCGTTAAGATCAAAGTACTAAACTCTATATTAAAAAGCATATGCATTTGATTGTAATTGTTTTGATTTGTTTTAATATTACGATAGTGTTCTTTTAAAGTCAAGGATATGAATTTCACAGATATTTAATTTTCTCAATAATTTACAATTTACATTTTTTTTTGAACGTTAATAGTTTGAAAATGGGTAATCGATCATCGTTGCTTTTGCGTAAAGAAGAAATTGCTCAAATTAGAAATGAAACTGGATGTAAGTATTGAGTTAATTTATGACCATAATATGATTTTACTGATTTAACCTTACATGTTTTTTTTCAACTTTTAAATATTTCTTGATCAAGATAGAATAATAAAAATAATAATAATAAAATAGTTTTAAATAAGATTCAATGTATTTAATTTGTGTTTTTTTTGTTAAATCATTGGTATATTTTCATTAATATGATGTTAAAATAGAAAGCTAGCTTGACATTGACAAACTGGTTTTTATTTTGGAGGTGATAATGTAAATATAGACTCAATGATAATTAAAAAAAAGTAATTTGCTTTCTGGATATCTTTAGATTGTTAAATTGTAGTGGAAAAAACTAAAAAGCATTAATTTAACTATAATTTATAAAAAAAAATGTTATCATTTTTTTAATTTTTTTTTTCTAATATTTTGTATATTATATAAAATTATGAATCTATACAATCTACTCAGATATACATTTTTTATAGAATCTTAAAACTAAATACGTTTTAATGAAATTATTTTATAGTTACTGCAAATCAAATAGAACGTCTTTATAGTAGATTTACCAGTTTGGATAGAGGTGACTTGGGCACACTCAGTAGAGAAGATTTATTACGCATACCAGAGTTGGCCATAAACCCTTTAGGAGAAAGAATTGTTGATTTATTCCACGTAGACTCTGGGAATAACTGTGATCGTATTAATTTCTTACAATTCATGAGAGCGCTGTCTAAATTCAGACCAATTCGACCAAATAAACCCAACAAACAAAACAATAGAATGGAAAAAGTGAAATGTAATCATTAACTATTAGCAATACACTCTTAATTTGTAAGATAGCGTTTTTAATAATTTATTGATTTTAGTTGCTTTTGATATGTATGATGTTGATAATGATGGTATGATATCAAAAGATGAGTTATTGGTTATTTTACATATGATGGTTGGTGCCAACATCAGGTAATGTTTTAATGATTTGTATGTTTTGTGAATTTTAAATTTTTTATATTTTTTTTAGTGAAGAACAGTTGTCTATAATTGCTGATAAGACAATTTCTGAGGCTGATGTAGATGAAGACGGTTTAATTTCATTTGATGAATTCAGTAAGACATTTGAAAAGTCTGATGTTGAACACAAAATGTCGATCAGATTTTTAAACTAATTGAAAATTCCTGTAATTCTGTTCAACGTTCTTTTAATTTTATAAATTGTTCTAGGTACACTCAATTAGTTTAAATATCTAGAGAAAATTTATTATTTCAATCCAAAGACCAATAATTTTAATTAATATTTATTGTTTTATTACTAATAGAGTGGATTTATGAAAAAAAAAATTGAATATAATATAATGTTATAATATAATTAATATATATATATAATTTTTATAATTTACAAATTGTATTGTATTGTAGTTCTCTAACAGAGAAAAGACAATTTTGACATAAAAAATAATTATGTATGAATATACAATATTTTGAAAAATTATTAAAATTTTATTTGCCGAATATATCAATAATAAAAAAAAATTAAATAACAGGACATAAGAATAAAAAAATACTTTCTATGCATTGGATGAGACAGCTAGTTTCTTCAAATGTTCCATAAACAATTGTAAACTTACATCATCAGTCAAAACTGGCGCTCCACCATCCTGAAATTAAAATTCAATTTAAAAATCATCTTTAATTTCCAACTATATAAATTAATTCAATACTCACGCCTCCATAAGCATACATATTATTATGTGTTTGAGATGGGTTAACTTTGCATAATAAAAATCTTGCCTAAAAACAAATTTTATCAATAACTAACAGTTCAAAAAATTTGTGATAATAAAATTGTCTTAAAAACTTACTTGACTACCACCTTGTTCGGTGTCAATATACCGAGGCATTGGAAATCGAGTTTTAAGAATTTCTTGAGCATCATCAACAGGTGCTTGAAGCAACTGTTTGAAGTTACTATATTCTGGTCTATTTTGATAATCCATTGCTCTCCATTGAGCAATAGTCTAAAATATAAATTGTTACTTTTTTTAAAATCTATTGAGGTTTAAGATGAAAAAAAAAACTATGTATATTAACTCACCTCTCCGTGAAATATTAAAATATGGAAAAATGTGTCCATTAATAATATTTTGTCGGGTTGAATACTGCTTGTATCCAAAAGTACAGGTTCTGGCCTACCATTAAAACTATAGCTGTATAGAATTGGTTGTATCATTATTAAACTTTGTGTAACATCTTCACGCATCAACATGTGTCTAAAATATAAATATAACACATTATTTGTGGATAATTTTTTTAATTTAATTTCTTTATAATCATATTTTACCTATAATATGATGTTTCATCAGGGCTATTATTAAAAACTTGTAGAAATTGAGACCTTCTTAAATGATACATGAACTGTGGATATAAACTGAAATTTTCTGGTAATCGGAAACTGTTTGGGTCATCTTTTTGATAATCGCCAAACTTCTGACACTGTATTTCAATTTCAACAACAATCATAGTTAATTTTTTAAATAAAAAATAATACTAAATATTTATTACCAAACGTATAAGTGTACGATCAGCCCACCGCATAACATCTGGACTATCTTCGGTTTCTGCACGATTCACTACCATACGAGCCATTAAAACTGCAGATGCCTCTTGATCAAATGCAGCACTAACATGCATCATATTTTGAACAGGGTCTGCCCAACTAAAAAAATAACTCACGTGTATAAAACAAATTTTAAATGCATACAATTACATACTTTCTAGCTAATGTAGTGACTCTAATACGTTTATGGCCACTGGAATGTTGGTACTGAGTAATAAACTGAATACAACCACGTCCTCCCTGAGGTATTGGTGATCCATGCTTAAAATAAACAAATATAAGAATATTTACATATAAATAAATTGTTTGTAAAAAAGGTTTAACAATTATTTACTTGATTAACAATTTCAAAGAAAAATGCACATGTAGTGTTAGGCATCAAGCTACACATTTTCCATTGACATGTACCACCTAAACCTAAGTCACAGTCAGATACACATGGATTCTTGATACTTAATGATACACACGGACCTATTGCGCCCATGACTAAATGAAAATATTCATTAAAACAATTAATATTATTGAATAAAATATAGTATATAACAAAATACAAAAACTATTTACTTTTTAATTCTCTAGATGTTTTTACTTCCAAAGTAGCATTAAATGCCATTTTTAAATTATTTTCATGATCTCGTGCTAATACTCTTTGGAATGTTTGCTTGAATAAAGAAGAATTAAATGAATCACCCATTACCATATGACCACTAAAATAAAATTATTGATAGAAATATTTATTTTTATTTTTATGATAACAATAACAAACCCAGTTGTATTACAACATTGCTTCATTTCCATCAAACCAGTTTGATCTAAAGCACATGCATAAATATCAATTGTATGTCCATTGGTTGCTGCACGAACTGCCAAGGTATCGTAATGCTTAGTTGCTTTTTTCATGTATGGAGCATTATCTTTCATTATTTGATCATGAGAACGAATTGTATCAGATAACTTATCATTAACTACATGTCCTGGACCTTGGGAACACGCTCCACCAACAAACAACATTATTCGTGCACCAGTTTGTGGGTAAGTAGACTGTAAGAATTAACGTATACATTTCAAAATATTATATTTATTAAATAATATAAATTAGTGATTACCTCCAGTAAGCTAACAGCAATTGATAATGCCATTCCAGTACTCCTTAATGGTCTCATACCTTGTGAAACAGGCCATGGATCTTTTAAAAGTTCATTTAATAAGTCTGACATATTTACATCACAATTTTGAACCGGCTGTATAAATCTATGAAAGATATTTACATGAGAATATATAAAAATAATAATTTTACTTGGAAAATACCTGTTTGCTGGTAAATTAATTTGTTGTTGTGCTTGCTGTTGGGGTACACCAGCTTGTGCATTTGGAGCAGCATATTTTCCAATTCCTAATATATCTTGAATTTGTTTTGGTGGTAAGTCTTTAGTGCCTCTAAATACGTATGATTTGGAAATACCTTCACAACCCAATTCATGGACCTAAAAAGTATGTAAATAAGTATTACCTATAAGTATTTATACATTAGATTCATTAAATACTTTTTACAGTTTTATACTATATTTTTTACCTGAACAACATTTCCAAACGTGATTAATCCAACAAGGGCATTTGGTGGTAATAAACTAAGAGACATTTGTAAAGAGTCTTTAAGAGCGCCAAGTTCTTCATCATCCATACAAGTATCCACAACAAACAAAAATATAGGTGGCATAGTTTTAGCTCTCTAAATAAGGTATACAATTTAATAAAAATCAATATATAAATCTAAATCTGTATTATTCAACAATAAATATTTAAAATATTACCGTTATTGAATATTCAATGGTAGAAAATGCTGGAATAAGTTCAGCTGGTTGGTGTTGATCTGAAATAGCTCCATATTGAGGAGGAAACTATACAAATTAAAATTAAATGAATATAAATTTTAATAATAGCTAAAACAATAGTAATCAAACTTACAGAATTACATTGAAAACAAAAATTGCATATCCACATTTTTCCTCTATAATCCACTTGACATAAAGGATTTAAAATAGCTCGACAAGTATTTCGTGTACATAGTACAGGATCATACTGTATTGCAGGTAAATCTGTTCTCCCAAACATAAAATATTAAAAATTAATTAAACTAAATTTAAAAATAAATACTATACTAACCCGCTCTTTCTTTTAATGGCTGGTAAAGACAACCGACTGGTACAACAAGACGAGTAGCTTCCAGTCTACTAGCTGGCCAAACATTCCACGATAAGCGGACACCATCACGCTCTTCATTTTGCTCAATAAATTCTTCGTATGTTGACATGATTACTAAGATTAAAAAAAATATAGTTTGACAAGTATAATATATGATGTAAATTAAGAGCAGGAGAACTCTAATATTTTTAGAATATCATTTTAGTCATTTGAAAATAATAATTTATGACACCTACTTAATCAACAAATAAATGTTAGGTGTAAATAGTTTGAGCCATTATCATTTACAAGTATAAAATACACGTAAACATTTAGAACATGGTAATCTATTCTCTATAAATATAATTAATATATACTATCAATTATATAAGCTAACAATTTAAAACAGAAGTATTTAAATCATAGGTAAATTCTGCTTAATGTGATTAATTGGTAGTACCTATTGGTACAAATAACTTTTTTTGTATTTTCTTTTACTATTTAAACTAAATAAATAATTGATTTTGATGAATTTTAAATCGAAAATAATACTTTCATAGTATGTTATTTGATTTTATCAAAAATATTAAATTTTAACTTAATTATGTTAACAAAAAAAGAACAGTTCTTTTTGAAAATATTTTTAATTGAAATTGAAATTTAAAAAAATAATTAACTAAGAGAGAAAGGTATCTAAATAATATTAAAGATAATTAAAATATAGAATAAAATAACTACTACAGTAATGAATTATAATATTAAGACCAAAAAGAATACCATTAATTTAAAAACATAATAATCATAGGTACATTTTAAAGAAATGTAAAAAAGTAAATTTGTAACATATTTTATATCTTTAATTTACCTTAACGACGCGTCAATGAGGTGATTAACATTACTCTTTCATTAACTTTTATAATTTTGTATAGTATTAATTTATTAAATTAGAAATTATTAAAAAAAAATTAGAAACACTGAAATGTCTGAAATGGAAGAACACCCGAACACGTCACTGGTCACTGGTAGGCAGGCTGTGGCAGTATGATTAATGATAAGAAACCATGGTTACACGTATCATATACTAAATTATCACTAAATGCAATAACACTGAATAACTATATTTTCAACACAGAATAATTCTGTTTTTAATAACCACAACGACCACTGTTACTGTGCTGTTACCTCATGATTACTCTCTTTTTAAGATAATAGATAATATATATATACATATTATATTTTAAAAGAATGTATAGACAATATTAGAACATCGAATAATTTAAATTTCATTTGTCCTGTGGGCTGTAATACGGATACTGGATACATTTAGGTGTAGGGAACTGGGAAAGTATCTGATGATACCAAGTACCGATAAATATCCATTATTATAGATAATAGGAATATTCACTATTCAGATTTTTATAAATTAAAAATAATAATTAACTAAGAGAGAAAGGCATCTAAATAATATTAAAGATAATTAAAATATAGAATAAAATAACTACTACAGTAATGAATTATAATATTAAGACCAAAAAGAAGCCCTATTAATTTAAAAACATAATAATCATAGGTACATTTTAAAGAAATGTAAAAATAGTAAATTTATAACATATTTTATATCTTTAATTTACCTTAACGACGCGTCAATGAGGTGATTTACATTACTCTTTCATTAACTTTTATAATTTTGTATAGTATAATTTGACAAATTGTTTCAAATGTGATTCAACTTAAATAATTTATTAAAGAAAATGAGATTGAAGTGTAAAAATCATTTTCAAGTCTTAAATTTATTATAGCATGATTAACTGTTAATGAATGATAAATAAAATACTATACATTTATAAGTTTAATCGTTGAATGTAAATTTATAGATACCTATTATTACAAATATTATGTTTTTTATCGCAATTATTAATTAGTGTACAGATGTTTACAGTTTTTGAGAAAAAGACTTTTTATAAGTTGAAGGATTATAAAAAATATTTTAAAATTTTAAAATCCACTCTTTAAAATTATGTGATTTAAATAATAACCCAGACCCCAGGGTCCACCAAAACTTCAGGCACTTCAAATATTGTACTAAGGCTTTCACCATATGCTCCATAGCAATCAAAAGTTAAAAACAATACCTCAAATTGTTTACAACTGTTTCTAACACATAAATACATATAACAATTCACTTCCCAAAGATCCACCATTACTATTGCAAAAAATCCAACATGCTGTACGAGATATTAGCGTACTTGGTATAGACTAGATATTAATGTTAAAATTAATAGGTGTCACCAATACCCAATGGGAGATTTCCTTATCATGCTATTAATGTCACTATAATCATTATAAACTTTCAAATTTTTTTATTAAATACTTTATATAGGAATTGTTTTTAAAATTTAAATTTAAAAAAAGTAGACCTAAAACTTGATTTACACATTATAAATATAAATCTATTAAAGTTGAATCTATATACCTATCTTGCATATTAATTTTAAATTGTAATTAACTTATGCCAAGTTATATAAACAATCACTAAAAATTAAACTGAACAAATTTTAATGTAACTTAACATTATTTGATATTAATATAATGGACAGTAGTTATACTGAAACCAAACAGCATACTGGAGTTTCAGACTTGCATCTCACTTTAATATTCATATAATTTTACACCAAATTTTAAGATAGTGATAATTTATACTTAAATCTATTATTATAAAATTGTATTCAGATAGAATTAAAAACTGTTCATTTTGAATAAAAACAAAATACTTCCATTAAAAAAAGGTATAGTGAATACATCATAATCAAAAATTCTCTTATATTTTTACCTCGAATGGCCTTCTTGTATAGGTATTATTTTTTTTTCCAATAAATTATACAATACAGTAAAATCATATTTTAATTACCTATTAATAAATATGTACAAAAACAACAATACCAAAATGTACCAAAATAATATAATAATGAACACGGAAAAAACTAAAATTAAAAATGCATAAAAACAATACAATTATATAACATTTTAGCTAGCCACAATTTTTTTTCTTAAAAAATATTGTTTTAAATTAAATTTGAAGATATTTGTAATCAAATAGAATCACAATTAACAGTATAGAATGTTTTAGTTGTTGAATGTAAGAAATAATGAATAAACTTTTAAAAAAAAACTATAAAGTGCTAAATTTGCTGAAAGGAAAATTGTTGTTAAGGTAACAGTATCCACAAATTACTGCTAATCCAGCAACAAGCCCACTGATTATAAACGTTGTGCTCTAAAACAAGACACAAATCCAATTTAATTAACTAATTTCTATAACTAATAATAAAACAAATACATTAATATAATAACATATTTTTTTCCTGAAAATAAAATTAGATTTATAGTAGTAATAAAATATAAAATTGTTTTCATAAACGTGGACATGGAAATATAGAATAGACTGTTGAATACCAAATATATAAATTATTATTTTTACTAGCTTAAAAATAAAATAAAAAGCTGAATGAAAAACAAAGTTTAAAAATAATGTAATATTATACCGTATTTTTTTCGTCTTTTGCTGACTTTTCACTATCATCTTTATGACCCAACATTTTTTTATATAATTCTCTTTCTTGTACTCTCTCTTTAACTAATGCTGCTTTAACATTGCTGAGAATATTTTGGACAGTTTTATTATTTGGATTTATTTGCAACGCTTTTTCAAGCTCACGAGCAGCTGCCACATTTTGTCCTTTTAATGCTAGTACTTTACCCTTACGCATAATTGCTTTTTCATTATGAGGTTCAACAGCAAGTACACTATCCAATGTACTTAAAGCTAAATCTAAACTATTCATAGACATGTGAACAGCAGCCATGTTGTTTAATGTCTTGACACGTTCATTTAGAATATCATTTTGTTCTGAATCTGAACCAATCTAAAAAGATTAAAGAATAATCTAATTATTCTAAGATTTTTGGTTTGTATATATAAGTAAATATTATTATGCATAAAACTTAATCATAAATGTTTACAATTTTACAGTCAATCATCTATATTTAAGATAAATAATAAAAAATGATAAATATTTTTGTCGAATTGGTTGTTTCCCTCAGTGTGATTAGTATTGTACAAATTGTTTCCATTCCATCAATTGATTGACTTCATAAGATATATCATACATGATACATAGTATATGAATGTGTGATGAGACATTTTCATGTTATTTTGAAATTATATTATGTATCTTTTTTTAGGTAGCGTTTCATGTGTTTTAATGCTGTGTTTAAACATCAAGTGTACAAAGGTTGTCTAATCAAAATTAATGATAAGTAAATACAAAAAAAATCAAAAATTTGTAAAATTAAAAACTTAAATTGTATGATATTCCTTGTAGAAACTCAATAATATTGATGTCTGAATTTTGTAGTTGGAGAGCTAAATTTTTAATTCTTTGCTCGCGTTCTTTGTTGCACATTTTTCTTTTTTTATTTGTTTGATCTTGAATTTTGAATAATTTGCTTTAGAAAGTTTTTAATTAATATCCTTGTTTAATATACTTTTAAATGTGTTTAAACTAGCTATTTAAAAAAGAAAAGTTACTTATACAAATTGTATAAAATATTGTTTAAAAAAAATTGAGTTCGATACTTTTGAAATGATGTACCCAACTGTACTGGTAAATGAAAAACATAGAAACAACTTCAATAATATTTGAAATGATTGACTAATCGATAAATTCAAACTTACAAGTTACAACCTTTCGAAAATATAATCTTTTATACACTTGATGTTCGAACACTTAACTATTTTTTTTAATGTATGCGTGGAGGGAAGTAGTTAGTGATTTTTTTCAAATCCTTAATATTGACTATTGGTTTCTAAAACATGTCATATTACACTCACCCATTTGATTTTTCTAGTTCAAATTATTTTGGTTATACTAGGCATTGAAACAGATTATATAGCTCCCTGTTGTATCTTTTTCTCCACTTAACAGTTTGCATGATATTTGTTTGACACGTAACATTATATTATGTTATATTGCCCACTTTTTAAGTGAATAATTAAAATGTTAAATCATTAAAATGATAAAAATATGTATATAAATATTATATATTTACAATAAGGAACACATTTCAAGTATGTTTTTGTTTTTTTGATTCCAAGAAACTTATGTTTGAAAATTGCATATTAGTAAAATGAAATTTCACATGTTAAGATCTGATGTTGTATAACTATTGATTTTTAATAGCATTTAATTTGTAAAAATATATAATGGTAGTTAAATAAATATGAATCGTATAAATAATTTTTTTTAAATGTATAAAAAAATGTATTTGAAATATTTTGATTTATGAAAACCTCAGTTAATTTCTTAGTAATTCTTAAGCTAATAATAATAATATATTATCTTACTATATCTCCTGGTCCTCCAAAATATTGAAGAGCTTTTCGATAAACATGTAAAGCCATAGTGTTTTCATTACGTGCATACCACCAGTTTCCTTTATCTTTTTTTTTAAGCCTATAACAAAACAAATCAAACTTAAAAATGATTTTACAATTTTTTTTTATTTTAAATGAAAAACAATAAATGGATAGATGTTAATGCAATATCCTCATCCCCATGACAATGTTATAACTGCTCTATAGCTATATAGAATAAAATAAATCTAACCTAATTTCACCATAACATATTATGACTAATATAAATTTGAATGTCTTTTACAATTCTTATTATTTTATGTATGTCATAACTCATATATGACAAATCACATGTAATCTGTACATTTCTTCTTTTTGTTATAATTTTTAATCAATAGTTAAGAACCAAATATTTTTCTAAATATTAAGTTAAAATATAAAATGGTAAATTCTAGGACAATTTTAAACAGTACCTATTTATGTTAATATTGAAATTTTAAGGGTTACATATTTAAATTATACCATAGTTATTTTCTAGATATATGAAAACTACTTATAAATAAATATTATCATAATTAAATAGAGACATTTATATTTTTTTAACTATAAAACTGAAAAAAGATTGTCATATTATCCTAACCTAACCAATGTAGTCTTTTTAATAAGGATTAATAAAATCATGGAAAATAAGTGTTTTTAATAGAAAAATATGAATTAAAATTTAAAAATGTATAATGAACTTAGTTAGATTGTCAAATATTATTATAAAATGTAGTATTTCTAATCAATATTAAACACTAAATTATTAGTGTATGGCCAACTAAATACATAAGTACGTACTTTATACACATAGATAGGTATTAATTATTAATTATGTGATAGTTAAATTCAATAATAATTAGATACAAATGTACAAACCCAATTTTAAGCCTTTCACTTGGAGTAAGATCATCTGGAATTATTTCTGGTTTTACAGATAGTAGTTCTACAGTATAAACTAATCTAGCTCCACCTAGAACCTTTGGACTCAATCCCTTTTCACCATAACCAAATCGTGATGCTATTTTCAACTCAGCTATTTCACCTACATTCATTAAGCTTAAAGCTAAATCAACACCTTGAATTACCTAAATAAATAATAGATTATAATTTAAAAATATTGAATGTACATTTTCAAATATAATATTACCTCACAGTCACCAAGAGTAATTTCAAAATTTTCTTCTTTTTCAAATATATCATCATTGTCTTCCAGTCGGCCAATTAAATTTATAATAATTTGTTCACCTTTCATTGGTCGTTCATCAAGAGCTCCTTGTTTAATAATTTTTTTCAATAAGTCTCCGGAACCTAATATATCTTGATAAGTTTCTTTTGGTTCATCTCCATTCACTGGTTGAGAAAGAAGAGCTTCTTTATTTTGATTATCTTCCGACAGGATATCGTTAGAATTAATAGAAGATTCTGGAAAACTGCCTTGTTCAGCATTTATAAAATCAGAAACTTCAGGAGTTATGTTTTGTGAAATTGTATTATTCTGCTCTAAATTTAATTCCATGTCTTCCATTTTAAAATAATTATTTAAGCAATGTTCGGAAAAACAAGTTTAATAATCAACACTGTCTATCACCACTAACACATGGACTCACTGCACGAATTGTGACAAGTTAGAAATTGAATTGAATTATTTACAGTCTAAATGATTAAAAAACTTAATAAAATAATTAACAATTAGAACAAATTACAATATGTATCATGTAAAATAATATAATATATTAATTACTGAGTAGTGATATTATTTTATTAGTTATTATTTTCTGGTATTTCAAGTAAAAAGTAGCAAATAGCAATAGGTAACTAAATGATTTGAGTTTTCTGAAAAAAAATAAACTGATAACAAGACTCATTATCACAATTAAAAAATAAGCTCATGTCATCAGTCCAGCTGCAGGCTTGCCGTTGTTCATGTAATTATGTATCATTGTATTTGCAGAATAATCATATTTTTCTATGGTACCTATAAATCTATGCCTATAACAGACCTAACTAATTAGCACAAATTCTTCGAAAAAGAATATATATTTGGGTATAATATAATTTCATGTAACCTTTGATTAAAGATTAAACACCCTAATCTTCATAATGTGTAGCTTGCTTATGTCGTGATGTGTGATGTGTTTTGTTTCAAAAAAAGGGACAGGAATTGTAAAATTGTGGCACGCAAAAATCAGTTCAAAAAGTATTATAAGTTATAACATTTTTTTTTTTTTTTAAAGATAATAACAATAATAATTAATGATTTAAATATATAATATTCTTGTAAAACATAAATATATATTAAAAAAAGCAATTTTTTATTTATTTCAGATTATAAAAAATATTATACATTTATACAGCTTAATAATTTTACCTACTTGATATACTTTAAAATTTTAAATATATTTATTAAAAAAATATAAAAATAAATAGTTTTACCTTTGAATAATACTTAAAAACATCTAAAACTTAAAATGTTTATAAATAGAATCAAAATATTTTTAAAATACTATCATATAAATGATGATAATAATAAAAAATTTGATAAAATTTTTAAGTATCATCTATGAATATTTGTTTTTTAAATATCGTGAAATTAATTTTTTTTTTTAATGTACGAATTTTCTATTTATTTTTCTTTAATTATAAATAACATTACTTTAGTTTTTATACTTATGAGTTTTGACTCTCTTCTTCTACTCAAGAAAAAATAAGAGTCAATTAGATCCTTATGACGCATTTTGAAACTAGAAAAAATATTGAAATCGAAAATTCAAACATGAGATACAAAAAATAGTAAATTTGAAAATTTTTTTTTTTACGAAAATATCAATGATATCTGGTAGGTATATTAATTATTAGGTATAACTTATGATTTTTTTTTATAACATAATATATAACGTATATGATGAGGAAATGGACTTTATTGTAAATACATAATAATATGACGTATATTGTATGTATCAGATTATGGAATAACTGTTTTGTGGAACGCATAAATTTGTGACATAGATTATGTAATTATATTTCATATATCTGCGGTAGTGGTTTGCCGTTGATATCAATGTACAAAACCATAGATTTATAAACACTCTCTGTCATTGTTATCACGATAAGATAAGTAAAAACTGTCATTAGTTCATTACACTAAATAACAATAGGCATTAAATCATTAAATAATAAATACTAATTAGTAATTTGTGTCATGTTCATTCATTATTATTCAAATTTCAGAAGTTCAATATATTTCCTATTTATTTACGTCAGTCTGGAAGTTAATTGAAGTGTTGAATAATTCGATTTTATTTAAAACTCGTGGTTCATATCAGACTGTACTTAAAAATACTTCAAATACCTTAAATCACGGATCATAGACAATAGACATATTGAAATGTAGAATATCTAAATCATACAAATTATTTAATATTTATATTTTAAAAACATTTAAAATAAGTATATTTTATGAGTATATAATTTATATTTTAAGTCTTATAGACTAATTTATTTGGATGTATCATGTATGTTAAAAACAGATATCAAACTTAAATGTGTGCTTATTTGTTATTCATTAAAAATAACATAATATTATACACCTATTTATGTTATGTCACAAAATAAAGTGATGCTTGTAGACAAAGAAAAGTAAATATAGCTGTTTTATTAAGAGTAACATTATATACATACATGCACAATGTCTCAAAACGAAACGTTTGAAGATGAAGAAAAGTAATTATGCCTGATTGTTTTTAATTATTAAATTTAAAATAAAATAAGTTGAAATGCTAATGTTAAAAATAATCAAAAATTTTATAATTTAATAAATACATTTCTCCTAAGGTTAGGTACCAATCACTTGTAAAATAATTTTATCTTATTATATTTTATCTACATTAAATTGCCAAATAATAATGTTTTAATTAATAATAATTGAACTTTTTTCATTTTGTTAAATTAATATTAGTTACTTCCTATTTACGATATATTACTTCCTTCTACTTGTTTACTGATAAAATAAACATATGTACTTTGTATACAAAATACAATTTTATAGGAAATATTAAATATATATTTAAGCGCTTTTATTATTTTTAATTAAAAATACAATTCTTAACTTTTAAATTAATTTTCAAATTAATACTGAAATATTAAAAATATATGTATATTTTACTTACTAATTTCTATTCATTACAGTTTCAAGTCATTAGTTTGTCGAAGATTGGTTGAATGTGGTTGGATGGATGAAGTAACCATGTTATGCAAAGAAAAATTAAAAGATCGTTTATCTAAAGGACAAACAGTAAAATCCATTACTGAAGAAGATTTATTTAATGATGTTGCTCCTGATGCTAGAAGTATGATATTTAATATTAACAAGATATGTTTATAAATTAACTGATGAATTAACACTGATTATTGTTATAGGAATGTTACCAGATACAATAAAAAGAGAATTAAAAGTAAAAGTACAAAATAAATTATTACAAACAGCTGGATATTTTGATGAAACGGATAGTGAATCATAATTCAACATTCAAGTCTTATCTTATTAAGTATATTCAGCAAATTTAATATTTAATTTTTATTAAAATAATTATTTTTAGATAAAAACAAATTATATTTTTTAATTTTCTTGGTTCTTACTTTTGATACCATTAAAGTATTAACTAGATATAATTTGCTATTAGAAATCACCAACAGTTGAAAATTTGTTTTACTACTCCAACATGATTGTACATAAATAATTAAGAAAATATTGCATGAATTAAAATCTAAAATCCAAAACCTAGAGTTGCCATTAATTCAAAATTAAAACCAAAGAACCTAAATGTTTCTTTATTGCAAAAAAAAAGTCATTAGACTGGTGGTTATTACTTGTTTGTAATAGAAATAATTGGAAAAACCCTAAAGATAAATTGTTAAAAGAGTTAACAATTAACATCCAAGGTCTTGATTATTTGCAATAGCAAAAAAAATTATACAAAAATATAAATAATAGTTGGTAGATATATTTATTTTTGTATTAAAAACAATTTATGGTATATAACTTAATAATACATATCAAAAGTGTGCACAGCTTTAAGTTTATTATTCAAAATCTACAAGACAAATATTAAAAAAAAAAAATTTTTAATATAATAAAAGTTATTTATTTATTTTTATATAAATTTGATATTAATACTAAACAATTATTTCTAGGACGGTATAAATAATAATATAGGATATATAATCCTACTATTTGGTAAATTAAAAACTAATTTTAAAATTACAAAAAAGTTGATAATTATAATAATTAATAACAAACTAAATATCAATTAAGATAATATAGTGATTGTTCATAGATTTTAATACTTATAATAAAAATCATTTATTTGGGATATACAAGACTTTTTTCAGCAAATATACCAAATATATTTAGTCATTTCTCAATTATGCTCAAAAAACAATAAATAAAAAATAATAAATTTAAAATTTTATTAGCAATAAAAAAATGATATTTATTGTTTATTTTAATTAACCTAGTATTATTTGGCATTTACTTTTATTTATTAATGTACAAGTAAATATACTTATGTCTGAAATCAGTAATTGCTAAATACCTAAATAAAAAATATTTATACGCTTTAAACAGATTCAGTAGGACTTTGAAACTCGCTTAAAGCCTTTATTGGATTTTGTACTTTCTTTTGAGAGCCTTTTCTTACTTTAGCTCTAACTTCTTCTGGTTTTTCTGGTCTTACAAGTGGTTTCTTTTCAGGAGCTTTCATTTTCCAAACAACAAGCTATGGAAATAAATAATATGAATATTAACTATTTTTTTTCCTCATAAAACAAAATAATTACTTTTTGAAGATCTGCTCCTTGTCTAGGATATTTAGTACTGGCTACATATGAAGATTTCACAGTTAATACAACAGCATTCATTAAATTTTTTGCTGCTTGAATTAGAGATGTGGCACTATCCAACTAGAAATTTATTTTGTGTGACAATGATGTATCAGACATCTATACAATAAAATAAAAACATACCCCAGAAACAATAAGTTCACCACTTATATTTTGTACATCAGCTTTAACTTTAGAAGTGATATTTAACTGATGACAATACAAAGCAATACGTTGTAAATAAGCTAACAAATCTTTTTTGGTTGATGATTCTGGACATTGGTCAGCAATTTGTCTAGTAAGTTTATCTAATTTTGTTCCAGCTTCTGAAATTTTCTTAGCTGCATTAATAACATCCATGGTAGTTTTTAATGGTCCACGGCCACTTAAAAAATTTAAAAATATAATTTAATAATAAAAATTATAAGTAAAGAAAATTTATAAATCACAGTTATGTAATAAGTACTAATAAATAATAAATTAAAAAATTAAATATTTTTAAATCTATACCGTGTGAAATCTGTCATTTCCATCATGATCATACACATATGCTTAGCAAGAACAATGATATCATTTCCTGTATCATCCCATTTAGCTACCTCGCGGTCAAACTTCAACTTTTCACTCCTAAAGAATTCAACTTGTTGAGCGATTTTTTGTTTATCTTCTTCTGTCATTTTTCTCATGGCTTCCTGTAATATATCATAAATACAATCGAATAAATCAATAATTTTACACTAAGTATATTATAAAATATTAAAATTAAACAATTTATAATAAATATTATCAATACATACACGTGCTGTAGTAATTCCACTAATATCTGGATACTCGTCCAAAGGTTCTCCAGTATGAGCACTTGCTATAAAATAATTTAAAATTCCTGATTAAAGTGTTATAAATACTTTAGTTGAAAAAACATATTTTAAGATAACACTTAAACATAGTTTAAAAAACAAAATGTACTTATATTGGTTATCACACTTACATCTACTTCGTGTCTCAACTGTATAATGTTCATCAAACTCTATATCTTCAGGATCTAATTCTTCATCGGTCTATAATAGTCAAATCATTAATCATTTATATTATTAAACAAGAAAAATGTTATAAATTATATACCCTATTCATGAGAACAGCTCTGCGTATCTCTCTAACACCATCATAAACAAGTCTAGAAGCATCAATAAAATCATTTTCATCTACTTCTTTTGGAGGATTGGTTGATAATGCATCAACAGCTAACTCAACACGTTGAGCAAAGTTGGGCATAACTAAATTGAAAATAAAACAAACATTTTATTTTTATGAAATTAACTAATTATAGCTTTATATTTATTTACCTTGATCACGTAATACTTTGATTGCTTCTAATACACGTTCAGTATATATACCAGGTTCATAATTATCCATTTCAGCAGCTACTACATTACAAACTCTAGCTGAACGGCCTCTAATTGCTCCAGCAGTTCTGTCTAATGGGTCAGCTGATCCTTCTTGAAGTGCAAGAACACATTTATTCACATCTTCCAAAATATGACTTTCTAAAATCAAATAATGAAATATGTAAACAAACTTAAAAATATAATTAATAAAGGTAATTCCAAACCTGAAACAGCTAAAAAGTCATCAATAGTTGTTATATCGTCAACAGCTTCAGTTAATAATTTAACTTGTGCTTGCCATGCATCTCTAAAAACATCCATATTGTCAAGTGCCAATTTAGAACGGGGCCGAACAGCAAGAACTCTAGCTGCATTTATCACTTGAGGACATAAATTCTCAATTTGTGCAGCAGCAGTTCGGACCATTTTCACACCATCTTCATTGTTTGACATGCTACATGCAAGATTAGCAACCTGAAAACAAATTAATCAAAATTAAATAAGTTTAATTATGTTTAATTATTAAAGCTTAACTTACTTCAACAAGTTTGTTTGCATGTTCAGTGAATACAAGAGCACATTCTTCAACTTCTTTTTCATCACCTGAATGCGCTGCTTCAATCAAAACAAGTAATGGAACACTTGTTTCTAGAAAGCTGTAATTCAACAAAAAAATATAAATTAATTAAACTAAAAATTAATTTACTTTGAATTTATTTTACCTATCAGACACGTGATCTACAACAGCTTTACGTAATTGTCGTCTCAAATCTCTAGTCTTACGACACATATGATCAATCGCACGTTCTAATCCTTCACTAGTTTCTTTTACACTCATCTATTAAAAGGAATATTTAAAGCATAAAATTATCAATTCATATCCTAATTTAAAATTGTAATATTTATCCTAAATTATTCAAATGGCATGCCTTACTGTGATTTTTTTATTCATGCAAAATTGAAAAAAACAATTGAACATAATAGGTGATATTGTTATAAAACAACAGTTAAACACAAGTACAACATTGAGTATTAACAGAACTGAAGTATATCAAATAGTATAGTAACTACTGACTCAATTATGTGCATTTTAAAATGAAATTGAATCTTGAAGGTAACACAGGTGTGGTTATTATTTTAAACTTGTACTTACAAAATAGTTATAGTTGTTAGATATTTACAACAGATAATTGAAAATAAATAAAGAATTAATGGGAGTATAAAGAATTAAATTGAAACTAAATTGTTACTTAAATTGTTTTTAAACTATATGGATATAATAACATATAGTCTTTAATTCAATAGTAATTTAAAAATAAAACTGAAATTGTATTATTGTAAATTAATGTCCTTGTAAATATGAAAGTATGTATATTGATATACATGTATATCATTCAAATAGGTAAAATATTTATAAAAATGGTTAATTTAGTAAATTAAATTGATCATAAATAGAAATATTTAATTTAAGTAAAAGTCATCTTAAGAACATTTAATTTATGCTAACCATTATTTAAAATTAATTTTATTGAAATTCTTAATTATATATATATAAACATTGAATGTATTTATTAAAAACTATGTTATTATTAAATTCTTAGATTTGTAATGGTAGCAAATCACAAAATATAAAAATAGTCAATGATTCAAAGTTATTAAATTTCACCAAAAGTATTGTAAGTGTATCATTATAAATTACTGTACCTAATTTTAAAATCTCTTTAAATGTATGAATTTTAAAATTTCTAGACACACTGTATCTTATACAATTCTCATGGTGCCATAAATAAAATTCTTAAATAGAGTGTTACACAATTAACTTGATTAATTGAATTTCAAGTTAATTATTACATGTAATTATAATGTATATACTTAACGTCATAAAATAAATCTATTTTAAATACTTAGACCAAATTGCATAAAGAAATTAAATAATTTAATGGATTAATCGTGGACCACTAATTTCTATTTTTGAGACCATTAGATTACTATTAATTCATAAAATGTTTATATGTTTATTATGTTTATTAATAATAAATTAAACTCTACTCAACTCATTGAAAAAAAATATTAGGTAGTCGTGCATTCAAATATGTATTTTAGTATGTTAATAACTGAAAGTATGAATTCAAAGTTATAGAAAAATTCTTTAAATACATACAACTAAGAAAACACACATTAATGATTTAAGTGTTAAATTTAGTTTAATAATTACATAAGAGTGATCAAAAAGAGTATACAAAATGGATAATTTTGTAGTCTATTTCTAAAAATGGTGTGTTAAGTGCAAGAACAAATTTGTTTTAACAAAAACCATAAACCATACCCTTTTTCCGACCCTTTG